AAAATTCCTTGTTGCTTCTCTTCGAGGAGTAGCCCTCTTTTTACCGAAGCAACCGGGATTGAGCTATTGATAATTTATTTAATGAGTCACTAAAATTAAATTTTAAGCTTTAAGCCAATCATAAACAAAAACAAAGGTAGTTTAAAGTAGCAAGTAAATGAAAAATTAAAGCAATTAGCCAATTAAAATTAAACTTTAATGCATTAAGCCATTATAAACAAAGCAATTGAAGCCGAAGGTAGCTAGTAACAGGATACTAAAGCAGTTAGTCAATTAAATTAAACTTTCCATATACTGAGCCCATCATACAGAAGACCTAAAGCGGTTAACCCAATCAATATTAGATTACCCTCCATTTGTAATTAAGTGTTGCTAATTATCAAACGGTTCGTGGTGTGGAATATAATATTATTTAGCGTCAGAGAGCTGGACAGGAAGGAGCCCTTATGCTTTTCGCTTGTAGTGTTTTTTAAGCCTGCGGGGTTAGAGGCTGGTAGCTCAGATTCTCTTATTAGTAAAAATAAATATATATATAACCTTTCAAGTAATATTTATTATACCGCAAGTGATCGTTTTAATAGCTAGTGTCAGTTAACTTAACTAAAGAGCCCAAGAAATTTAACTTGCTTACCTGTTTAACTCTTTTTATAAAGAGAGAAATCTCGCTCTAATTGATTTTTACTATTATTAGAAATAGACTTTGACTTCCTTTTTAAAACTTTTCTGTTTATGCAGATTTGAAAATAGGTCATTATTATGACTGTTAAAATTTATAAACTTGGTTTCCAGCCTCATTGGAAACATGTTTTAAATAAATACCAATACTTACTATATCAAACTAAAAAAACTCCCTTACCAATTTTTATAAAAGAAAGATATGCTAAGGAATTTCTAAAACTTTGTTAACTTAAAATCTTTGGTTTTAAGCACGGTTTGGTCACCACTTTGGAAGATCTGGTTCTTTTGTTAGAAATAGAAAATGGACAAATTTTTAGTATAATAGCTAGTGTTAGTATACTTAATTAGAGCCTAAAAAATTTAACTTGCTTACTAGTTCAACTCTATAAAAAGAAGACTCGCGCTTTAGACGTTTTCTTGGCTTCTTTCTAAAACAACTTTTCTGAGATTCTGTGGATTTAAAAATAAGACAACATTATCATGACATAAAATAAATAGGCTTGTTCTCCAGAAAATTAACCATACCCACCAGCAGGTATTGTAAAATACGTAGCATCGAAAGAAAAGAACACCGTAAATTAAGTTTTAGTGTGGGCGTAATGTTTTAATTGATCTAAAATGATAAACATTCCGACAATTTTCCACTTTAAGTAATATAATGAAACCCGTAAAATTTATTATAAATGTCACAAAGTATAAACTCTAGCTATATATAGTTGACTATTTTTCTTTATTCAAACGTCGTACTACGTATTCCAAAGCCTCTCTTGCCTTTTAAAGAAGAGTATGTAAATTTTAAAGGGTTAAACCCATTTCTCTTCAAAAATATGAGGGAGAACCTTTGCAATATTATTTTTTAACCGCTCAAGACTAAAACTTTCTACTGCCCGCGAGCAGCACCACAAGGGACTTCGTATTTGTGCTTCCGTTTTTACTAGAGTCCTGCACCTTTTTTTTAGTTGTGGCATCATATAAGTTAGTTTGCTTACCATTCTTTACTTTCCTGTGCTACTTTATATAAACAAACTTCCTCTACTTGAAGTATTCTCGTAAAACTAAGATTTCTGGAAACGGTTACTAAAGTCTTATTAATTGGATCTACAACCGAATCTTCAAGGACGTAGCCATAAGGCGCCTTCACAAACTTTAAAACGAAATTTTAAAAAAAAACCAGTTATTTCAAATAGGACTTATAAAATGTTAAGTAAAGAATATCTAAAACCTTTTTTATAAAATTATTTTTGGCGTTAGTCTTCGCTAAAAGCCGGATAGTGTGTAAACACTGTGTTTTCGAATCTTTGCATTAAAGATCAGAACGAAATTTTTTTTAATATAATAAAAGTAAATTGATCTATAATACCTATGTATTGTTGTATAGTATCACACTTTAAAACGTGAGAGCTCAAAGGATTAGGATATTTAAAAAAAACTCCCAGGGTAACATCTTCCCAACGGTATCTGTTATAAGCGGCAGCCAAAATATGATGATAAGTTTTTTAATTAAATAAAAGGTAATATACCTAAAAAGGTGTTGGCTAGTATAAAACTTCATTAGTAGGGTTTGTATCCAAGAATATAAAGTTATAAAAAATATATATATGAACGTTTGTTTTTTATTCTTTCAAATTTTTTGTGTTTTCTTGATTAGATAAGCTACACAAACTTAGAAATATGCATTACTGTCTTAACCAAAAAAATATATTCTATGAGACCAAAAAATTGAGTCTTTCACAATTAATTACAAAACCTACGCAAATTGATTTTTACTCACGCGGTCCCTCAAAACTACAAAAAACTGGTTGACAGCTTGCCATCAGAAATTATAAATAAAGTAAGCAAAAAAAGTTTTTAAGAAGGAATTTAAAAAAAAATAAATTCCCTCTGTTAATAACTTGAACATTCAGAGTTTTTTATCTCGATCGATCATATGAAAAGCTAATTACAAACAAATAAATTCAACTCGACCTGTGAACTACGGTTATTAAGGGTTTGCAATCATTATAATTATAAAAGGTTTTTTTAAGCTTTATAAACAGAAATATACAATTAATTAATTATGTAACCGTATAAATTAACATTTCAGAGAGGGATTAAAGAAATCATCCATTTTTCGCGAATGGTATGACTTCAAGTTCCGCGCTTAACTACGGTTTGATTCTCTTGCACTCGTGAGTTATGGTCTAAGGTGCTCAAAAGGTTGTCCTCCTAAGGGGAATAATATTTGGAAGTAAATATACCTTTGGTCGGGTGATGACTACAAAGGTCTTAAGTCTTGGCTAAAACACGAGTTATTGTGATGATTAAAACACCTTGACGTTGTGATTAGGGCACCTTCCCCCTTGATGCTCTGAATTGTGAGCTGGAAGTAGGAGAGTCCCAAGGCCGTGTAACACACGGTTCGAATGAACTACTTTTAAAAAGGCAAAAACTCCAGGTTAGTTAAGGTCTATAAGCAGGTGAAATCTTCCCTGTAACTAAAGTTGAAACATGGTGAGTAACATGCTTTGCGCCTCGTGCCTTGGTGTTCATTAACTGGACTTGTTAGAACCTAGTGTTGACTTTATTTGGTTTGAGGCCTAAAGGCTAACTAATCTTGCGGAAGTAAAATATTCGCGATGAGTACTATCATCGCCTTCCGAAGCTGTTACCTGTAATACGCTAAGGAAGAACATGTGACACCTCTATTGAAATCTTTGAAACATGCTACGTTGTACAGAACACTACCTTTGACCGAGTTTGGTAAGGTCCTTGAAGACCACGAAGTAAAGAGCTGTATAATGAGCGATGAAAGTTAAACTATGCTTTGTTCCGATAATGCTATGATAGTCACAGAAATGATGGCTGAACTTGTATTTTTAGCACATTATTTAGGAGCGGTTTCTAGCCATTCGAAACTTAGTGGGTTAACAAATATTGTTAGCTACTAGTATTATTTTAAGCAGTGTTGTATTGTATACATGTAATGTACTAATATTATTACTATAACCAGAAAAAAAAAAAGAAATATTTTAAATGCATTTATTTAACGACCATGGTATTCTTAGTATCAAAGTTAATTATTATGTATAAATATTGTTTAAATGTTTGCACTGGCAATTATTTTTAAGTACGTATTCGTTATTTTAAATAGAAGGCTGTATGGCTTTTAAGTATACAATATGTAAAACAAAGTTTACCTAAAGTCTCATAGTAATATAAGATATATAATAGTATAATTTTAATAATGTTAACTAAATTACCATGGTTTAGTATTTGTAACGAGACAATTAAAATATTATATTCATGCTTTCTTGTTACATGATCTCAAATAGTCTTTCACTCTATGGTTTTCTTCTTGTCATTACCTTTTTAAATTATAGCATAAAGTTTTTAAAAAGAAACAGTAATAGTGACCTAAAAAAAGGTTTAGGGGAATCCATTTAAGTTTTATATGCATACAAGACTTTTTTATCTCGAACACTATTAAATTTAAACCCTAAAACGAGCTCGGCAATCTTGTTTTAACAAAATGCAACTGGTGTTATAATAGGAAACGGTGTTTAATTTTTAATACTACTCTATAAATAAAGCAACACTCTTCTTTCTCTTCAATATTAAATATAACTGAGGCAACATAAAGGCAGTAAATTATAGATTTAAAACTTCCACAATTTATAATAATAAGAATAATAGCCTTCAGTTAACTTCTACAATAGTTAAGTTTATAATATAATCATTCTAATTATAAAAATATGAAATCATACGAGTATAACATAAAAGGACGATGTTTCCGTATATTAAAATTCTCTAGGCAGGGTGAGGTTAAGTATAATAGTATATTCTTTACAAAATTAGTTAATATGCTGGTCTTAATAAAACCTTATAAAGGAAGTGGAGTAATTAAGTATTAAGTATTTATAGTAATGTAACAACAATACATTGTCTCCCTTTTTAAAGTTCTGATTATAAGAGAAATAGAAAATTGTGACAAAATTATTTAGTAATTCATAATGTACACCTATAACAAAAAACTCTAACACACTTCAAATTTCACAGCTTATGGTTTTAAATGTGGCAAATTAAAAGGAAAAGCCTCAATCTTTGCCTAGAAGTGACTACTAACCCGTTCTTCTCTTTCAGTGTATAGTTACGCTCTTTCAACAATGACAATAATTAAATATAATATTATTACTCCAAACGCAAGTTAAATTTCTTTTTGGTAATTTCCAGGCCGTAAAAATTAACTTTTTTGAAATAACATTTTTTTTTAATCAAAATACTCAAAAGAAATCCATAGTCCCTTGCAAATTTTCGCAAGAAGAAGCTCTTGTGCCCGAATAAACATGACCGTAGAACAAGCTGTGTGTTGTGCTGTTAAGAGTACAGCTTCCCTCTTAAAGTGGTTCCTTTCGAAAATAAACATTATTTTTATGTAGTATTAATGAAAGGTCCTCTAGTGAGCTTACTAGCTCATAATCAATTTCAAACAGGTAAAAAAAATTGCGGACTCATTGCACCTCTAACACCATCTACTGCGGTCAACGAAGAAGAGTTGAAAGAGTTGGAGGTAAGAAAGAAATTAATAGTCGTTGCAGATCGAAATCAGTATCCTAATGAATTCTCAATAAAAAGGTATCTCAGAGCTTTCAAATCGGGCTACTCGCAAAACCACCAGATGTAGGACGGAATATAACGTCAATGGATTAACCCGAGATCATCCGGACGTCAAAAAACGTTACGAACAGAGCAAAGCTCGAGTGTTGAGACAAAGATATGGTTGGCTGACTAGTTATCTATATACAGGCTAATATTAACGATGAAACATAGATGAATTAACAAGTTTTATCGTTTATTGTTTTGAAGAAGCAACATATTTTGAAGAGTCTTAGATAATCTCTTTATAGTATTCGATTTAAAAGATTTCGGTTTAAGTTGTATGGACTATCAGATAGTAAAAATCTTATCTATTTTTTATCAAGACATTATCCTGAAAGATTGGGAGTTCGCCTCATATTAAATGCCCCTCAACTTTTTTACACTTACTGAACCCGTTATCAAGGGATGATTAGACGAAAACACTTCACACAAAGTTCTTTACTTTAATTCAGAGGAAAAATTGTGTAAATTTCTTATACCTGTTATCTTACCGAGCTGTAAAAGTGACTAAAGGACCAAGACCGGCTGCTTTTCAGATAATGCTTTTCGCTATGGGTTGTTGTTGTTTTTGTCGTGGTGATGACGATGACGATTTTAGCCGGCAACAAATTACTGAAAAACCAAAAAAAACAATTTTTAAGTACATTATCGTTTGAAAATGTTTCTAGGTTTAAAATTTTATTGTAAAATTCTATAAAGCTTTCATTAATAATAGGTTATATTGATCTCATATAGATGTTTAGATTGAAATCTATTTAAAGTAGTTTGTATTAGAGGGATTTGTGCTTTCTTAATTAAGTCTTTATCGCTTTTTAAAGTTTAAGTACAGATTGAAACGACTTTGCACCTGACCCCTTTCACACAAAATTGTTTCAACCTTTACATTAAAATTTCACGTTCACTACATCATAGGGGGTTTTTGTAAAGCGTTTGAGAGTTTATAAAGGATAGCTTACATAGAGACCTTAATATAATAATGCGTAATTGGCAATCGATAAAGAAAATGTAAAATGTCTTTTAGTTCAAGGCAAGCCTTATAGTAAGAACACTCGTGAATGTGGTGTAAGTAAGGCCACAGTCTCTCGGATAAAAGCAAAATATGTTCCAAATCATCTTGGCAGTGAACCTGGGCGTCCAACGATCTAGGAAAACGGGGGTGTAGGTCGACTTGTTCGACAAGTGACACTGGGCGCAATTTAATTATAGAAACAACATGAAATAGATCAGTTTTAGGATCGACCTTATCGAGAGCATTGCATTTTGCTGGTCTCCACTTCAAAAAAAAGTTAATTAAACCCACTTTGACAGACCGTCACAAGCAATTAAGATTTAAGTTTGTGAAGAAGTAAGAAAACTGGTTCATTTTTGGCAGGTTAAAAGTAATTTTTTCGGACAAAATCAAAACCAATCGAATAGTTCAGATGGTATTAGGTGGTATTGGAATAGATTCAGCAATCGAATACTTGATTACCAGGCGGTGCAAACGTATAAACACGGAAGAGGATTGGTTATGGTTTGGACCTATATAACATCTAAGGGGGTTGGATATTTGGAAAAAGTGACAGGGGGCACCGCCGGAAGCACGTATTTAGACATTATTAATAATGGCCTACCCAGGACATGCGAGTGGTATGACCTTGATCTTCGTACGATCATGGCTCCAATTACAGTCGTTCCAAGTGCTAGACTTACCGCGATCTCCTGATTTCAATCCCTATGAGCATGCATGGGGAATCTTGATAAGAAAATTGGGAACATACGAAATTAAGCTCCAGCTAACTTAGTCGAGCTATCAGTATTGAAAAATATAACACCGGGTCAATGCTACAATTTGATTCCCGGTATTTCAAAGAAACAAGCAGTGATTCTGGCAAAAGGGAGCTATACTAATCATTAAAACCTTGTTTGTTAAATTAAGTTTTTTCTACGTGCATAATTGTTTCTATAATTTTTCAACTCTTCAAGCTCATATCTTTTCGAATATTCAACCAATTTAAGATGAAACAAAATGTAGCTAGAACATAGAAGTTTACTGTGTATAAATTTTAAAGTAATCCATTACGTTATTGAAAAGTTATTCTATATTAAATGGAAAATGCAAAGCATTGAAACAATTTTGCACGATAGGCTATATCAAACAAAGCTTTGGGTACAAAAAATTTTCAGGCAATCACGTTAAGGTGACCAACGGCTCTCCGAACCAATGCAGTAGCCAAGTTTGATTTACTTAAGTCAATCTTTTTTGTTGTCTTAAACCGTAGTAGCGGTTAACCACGACCGTTATAGTCAGCAGCGAAAAACGGCCTTCATCGATATGACTCTAACATAATAAACATTGTATCTTCTGCTGACTAATACTAATGTTCTCGTCTGAACTCGTGTAATGGTCCCGCTGGCATCATATTCTTCCGTTGATTCGTTTGGAAAGTATTTATATAAAAGATAAAATTAAGTGAACTACAAAAGTAAGCACTTACACGTTCAGTTATGGTTCTTTCTAAAACCTCGAGTTATTTATTATACAGATACAATAGATATAAATAAGAATTCAGGTTTGCTTCGTTACCACACCAACGACTCCGGAACAACTAACCGCGCGATCGTTTAAGTGGGACTGAAACTGGCTGGGAGGGAGTTTTAGAAGATTTCTCAATTACTAAGTTTTAAATAATTTAATTAATGAGATTTAATTTCCGTGGTTGGCACGATAGCAGGTACTATAGTCAGTTCCGAAAGTATTTGCACCTAATAATAGGACCCTACTACTTAGCTTATGCCCATACAAGAATGAACATTAATACAACGTTACAAACGTTAATTGGAATGTTACGTTTTTCATTTGCATCTAACGTTAAAATAACGTTTGATGCTGTACGATTGAAGAATTAGCAATTATATTTGCAACTGACTGTACAACAATTCGAAATAATAAGTGATGGTGAATATGAGCAAAGATGATGAAGGTAATGAGGAGGAGGATAGCAGTTGAAAAACGAAATCCTCTAAGAGCACTGATGTCCTTAACAGCGCCTCGTGTGCTTAAGAAAACGATTTAGAGAACCTAAAATTTATACTTTATACTAATTTATAAATACGATTATGAGTATTAGTACTGTTTTATCATGTGTGCCCAACGGTTGACACCGGTCCCGTAGAGAGCTTGAAAGGAAAGAGTAGCGCTAAACACGTTAATTAAATTTCAAGGAACAGCATGGGAAAAAGACCAATCACAAGCACCATGTAGAGCTACAACCAGTCAAATTGAACGCTCTAAGAAAACGACCGATAATCGCAAGCTATTCTGAAGATAAAAATAGATTAAGTTGGCCACTCATCTCTCCTCTCGCCAGACTCTCTCCGGTTCCAAGCACGAATTACTTTACGGGTCGTCGCTGAAGTACCGTTATATGCTAGATGATAAGACACGATTTTGTACGTCGACTTTACCTACTGGTCATGTATATGCGAAATATAAAGTTTCATTTTTTCATTACACCATGTCCTGGTTCGAAAGTACAACATTGCATAATTTTCTGTACTGCTATTATAGTTTTAAAAGTGCGAACGGTACAATAATAACTACACATTTCCCTCTGAAAGGCGAGAAATTGCACTTTTTCTTCCTTCTGCTGCCCCGTTCCAAATTCGTAACATGCAAAACTTTAGCGTACCCTTATTATGACAAACCGGGTAGACAAAATAAGTTTAAACTCGACTTGCAGCCTCGCGTCGGCGAAGACTTTACCTCCCCGACTTGAAATTCCTCATTTTCGGCCCTCGTGATGATGTACAGTACCTATACTACTATACTGTTTTCAATATCGTCCGCGTTCAACACAGTATTTTATTCGAGGAAAAAAGGTCGATAAATCGAGGTTGAGTACTGTACGCCTATTTAATTTTTTTTAATTATCAATGAATTACTAAGAACAAAAATTCAGGGATGCCGCTAGTTTAAAAAAAAATTGATGAGCCAAAGCTAAAAATCTTAAGAAGTTTACAGGCCAGGGTCAAAGTCTGACAAAGTAATACATTACAAAAGCATTGAACAGTGTACCAGATCATTTATGTGTTAAAAAGTTTTTAGATATTGTAAATAAATTCGGTCGGTGCAAAACAGGTGGGGCTAGCTGGGCCCCACCTTAGCGTCGCCCTGAAAAATATTGTTGTTGTTTGTGCTTAAGTTGTGTGAGGAGAAGAAAAGAACTGAATATAAAATTTAATAAATGTGTTTTATTATTTAAAAAAAAAAAAAATTAATTTCAGCATAGCAGAAACACTAAAAGACTTGTAGGTAAGTCGATGTATCTCACTAATAAAGAATTCTTAGTAACCATTGGGGAAAATAAATTGCTTATCATTTTCCCTAGTGGCCCCCTCGTGCGTTGCAGCGAATGTGGGTAGTAAGAAAAGTGGTTCTGGAGAGTTGCATGTTATATACTTCTTTCAAAATTTGCAGTCTTTTATGAGTATTCGTTAAAATTGTAACAGTTGTAGAGCAAAATGCCTGATGAAAGGAAGCTTACAGGCGCTATTCCAGGTAAGATTTATTTTAAACATAGTATTTGTCACTTTATAGTTGTGCTTGGCTAAATTTATTTCTGTTTCAACAATTAATTGAACCGTTTAGTTAGGAATAAAAAAGGAGAGCGTGTTATGCAAAAAGTTAAAGTTGAGCGTTATAGAGCTGGTATAAAGCCTGACTTCGCTTCAGCCTCAGATGTGGTTGAATTTTTTTTTAATACTTCTCATAAAGCTTTTAATTAGAACATTACGTTAATCAAACATAACTCTTGTAGTCTGAAGATGAAGACGCCTTTGCTGACGTTAAGCAACCAGAAGAGATTATTTTAAAAGAGGAAGAAATATTAAGTGATCGTCGTTTAAAACGGTATTTTGGTTTTTTATCGAGTAATTTCAACTTTTCAGTGGCCTTTTGGTTTAATAATTAGACTAACAAAGAAGAAAGAGTTAAGCCGTGTTACTGATCTTGCTCGAGTTGTAGTGCAAAGAAGGGAAATTTCTGATGGCTTTAGAAGGAAAAGGTTATTGTTGCTATTTATGTAAGGTTAACATTTATTTAAATTTTTGGAAGGCACGAACCTGAGGTCCTTATTGTAGCTGAAGCTGGCGAAGAATTGGATCGAACTAAAGAAAATGAAAAAGATTTAAAAGAGAGCTCAGATAATAAGTTTTAATTTTCATAAATTATTTTATTTTTTTGTTATATATAAATTGGACCAATTTATATATATACTCTTTAACTTGTAGTATAGAAGTTTTAGCCGAGCAAGAAGACGATGAAAAACTATTATTGAAGAGGAAGTTATTAAAAGAAAAGTTATTGCAACAAGAACTACAAGAACTTCCCATCGGTGCACCTTTAATTTATTACGTTACAAGTTATTTTTGAGTTAATTTTTTGTGTTATTTGGTAGAGGATGACAAAAGCGAAGCTGAAGAATCTTCGGAGTACGAAGATGTAACTGACAGTGAGATAGAAGATGAACCTATGTTGAAGCCCGTGTTTGTTAAAAAAAGTGAGCGCTCTACAATTTTGGATAAGGAAGTAGAAGTTTTGGTATTTTTTTTATAAAAAATTTTTAACTCTGTTGCTCGCTTTTTAGTTACTTTGCTTTTTTTATTTTTATTTTACGCGCTTTCTAGTTTCTTTCAGTTTGGAGCAGGAACCTTATAGATTTAAAACAATTTTTTATAAATTTATTTTATCTTAAAAGAAATGATACGTATATTATAAGTAAGAAGGTTAATATTTCTTTTAAATTATTCCTATACTTTGTATTATTAGAACGAAGAAGCAGCCAGGCAAAAAGAGGCACTTCTTAAGGAAAGACGAAAACAGCAAGCCATTGCTTTGGTTCATTTTCTAAACATTTTATCTCATTTGCGTATTATAATTATAATTATATTTAAATTTCAGGTGGCGAAAGCAGCTAAGCAAGAGCTCGAAGTAAAATCTGAAGATGAAGGAGAAGAAAATGAAGGTGGCTCTGCTTAATAAAAACCCCCTTTTGCGTATTGTGCTGATTTAATTTGTCGAGGTGATCTGAGTGACGGTGACGGAGATGAGCAAGAAGAGTATGAAAAGTGGAAAGTTCGAGAACTTGCTAGGTTAATTTTTTACACCGTAAAACATTGCTTTGCTTGCGCAGTTTAATTTTAATCTTTTTTTATTAAAGGCTTAAGCGTGATAAAGAAGAAAGAGAAGCGCTGCTTGCTGTTCAGCTGGAAACTCAAGAAAGGCGAAAGACTATGACGGACGCCGAGCTTATCAAGGACAGACTTACTCACCAGAATCTTCGGGTTGAATTTTTTTTTAATTTTTTGATTCTTCAATTTTTAATTTTATGCTCAGCCGAAAGGGACTCTCAAGTACCTTCAAAAGTATTACCATCGGGGCGCTTTTTTTGTAAGAAGCTTTATGTATATCTCTTCGTCGTGCTGCTGGTAGTTACGGGCTTTTTTTTTTACTATTTAGGTGCAAGACACGGACGAAACGATTTACAACCGCGACTATACTGGTAGAGTTGTTAAAGTTTTACTTTTAATTTTGTGGACTTATTTTAATCTGGGATTTTTTTGCCCTGCAGCTCCGACGGGTGAAGATCTTTTCGATAAGACAATCCTCCCAAAAGTGATGCAGGTAGGTGTGGTGAATTATTAGAAGTAAAAATTTTTATAAAAAATTCTGCAATAGGTGAAGAACTTCGGGCGCTCTGGCAGAACGAAATGGACCCACTTGACAGCAGAAGATACCACGAAGTTTTTTTTTTAAAAAATTATATATATTTTTTTTTAAAGAAAAAATTGCAGCTTTGATTCTCCTTGGCTTCAGATCTCTGCCAATTCTAATAAACTGAAGAGTAAAATGGGCGGCATGAAGCAGGATTTTTCTAGACCGTCTTCAAAGAAGAAGAAAAGCTCGTTGCTTAAATAAGAATTAATTTTTGACACCTTTAAACAATCCACTGGAGCCGGCCCTCACCATGTTCCATCTCGTGCTATACGTCGAGATTTTCTCCTTTAAATAAGCGTGCTTTTTTAAACTTTGGGGCTTACTGATTTCATTTTCTTATAAATAAAAAAAAATGCTCACGGAAAAAAGAAATTTACAGTTTTAAACACTGCAATTTTATTCATCTTTCCTTTTAATTAAAAAATAACTCTATTAGCTACTACCAGTAGCTTTTAGCTATATTTCTAAGTTTAGCGACTCTTAAACCACGTGGCAAAGTCTGGATCGAAAACCGCTACGGGCTACATTCTAAACCACGCAAAAGAGATCTTCAAGAAAAGACGCTAAAAAAAATTAATATGAAAGCGCAACCGATAAAGTGCGGGAATGCACATCGTCTCTGCATGTTTTGTCTATAATAAATTATTTTAGTTGGAAAAAACGGAGAAACCGCCAACCTGGCGGCTGTCAGCTGCTGTTGTAGGCGCTTGATTTCCGCGTCCTTTTGCCGGATCGACCAGTAAAGTTCGTCAGCGATGCGATCAAATCGTTGTATAAGAATTTCCTCGCTGCGACTCCTTGCAAGCCTGCCCTCCGCCAGGACAATTGGATGTTTCACTGGTGCTATAGTACAGAAGACAGAGACCTTCCACTAGCAGCGCGAGATTTTTGCTCCCATTCGCTTCTGCTTTGGCGGCTCATTTGGGTCGTGTTCTCTTCTGAAGAGCGCGTGAGCTGCACCGCCTGCCATGCCACGTGAATGCATCCAGGTACCGTCTTTTCCACCGTTGCGCTCGGTGGGCAAAGTAGTTGAAATCTGTAAAGTTTGAGGTGAAGACATTTTTGAAAAAAAAAGGGGAAGCCCAGAAGTACATTCTAAGTTTAACTATTATAAAATATAAAAGATATGGGGTTACCTGGAGATTATCTATCAAGTTATTGAGTTTCCCTACTTTTTGTTTGGCCTGAGTATTTCAAAGATACATGCAAAAATAATTAAGAAAAGTTAAAATAAAAGTGTTAGGTATCGTTTCCTTGAGTAAACCCGTTTCAAATTTTTGAGGGCCGCTTCTCTTAATTGTTAATAGAACTTTCAAGTTAAATACAATAAAGGAAGTTATTATAAACCCTCGAGGGTCTTTCCTCCAGCAGCCTTCGGATGTCTGTAATTATGATAGTAACTTCGGCCAGGTTCCCGCAAGTCTCCTCCAAAGCGACGAGGTCTGTCTGGAAGGATGTATTATATGAGGTCCTGAAGATGCTAAAGGGCAGCTGCACTTGAAATCGATGCTCCTCTTCTTTCTCGCAACTAAAATTTGAAGTTAAGGGGACCATGACCGGTGAGGAAAGAAGCTCGCTTTTAGCAGAAGAAGAGGGCGAACTTATGAATTTGATATATTCAATTATTAAGGCCTTTTGGTTGTGATGCTGTAAGCATTATTTTTAATGCACCTGCTGGGTTTTAAGGGAGATTCTATAGTAACAGTACTATTAGTGGTGTGAACGAGCTTATTATTAGGGCTGACGATGATAATTTTCATTTTTATGCAAGGATAAACTACAAAAATTTGTTAAAGAAAAAAGCAAGACTTAGTTATTCCTTAATTATTAAAACTTTTAAAAAAAGAGAACTGCAGTTCTCCTCACTCCGAACGGATGACCCAAGTTGTAAGATATCGTTGCTTTGCAAGGCATGCGGTATTGATTCCTTTTATCAAATTGTAAAAAGGAGTAAAAAAGTTACAGCCTTTGTTTTTACTTGTCCGGGTTGCTTGCTTATTTGAATACCATTTAAAAATGAACCGTTGGAGCTTCCAAGATCCTTAAAAAAAAGCTACGAGTTTTCGCAATAAAATAAATTAAATTTATAGTGATTATAATATATTTAAAACGGGCCCTGCTTCCTTCGACGTAAAAAAGACCATGGTTCCTGGAAAGAACAGGATTATCAAAAATGGCGTTGTCAGGTCGAGGACCATTCTTCGATTATAATTATTTTATATTTTTTTTTGAAAAAAGATGCTATAGAGAAAATTTTAGACCTTTTTTAAGGTGCGACCTACACGTTTTGGTTGTGATCCTACTGAAAACACTCTCTCTTCAAAAAAGGCGGAATCTTGGTTTTTCTCTTCATAAGGTGTTAATTTTACAAGGAGTTTCTCGATTTCTCTTTCATGCATACCGTAAAACTGAGGGTATTGGACTTACGACAGATGGAAATATATGAACAAAAAAGTATATAAAAATACAACCAAGTTAGTAGATTAGAGCGCTTAAATTTGAGTTAGTAACCCTTTTATGGAAATCATGAACGCGTAAGATCAATACCATATTGCCTTATGTAGAGCTTTATTAAATTAGTTAACTAAAAACAAATTTTTTAAAGGTCTCAGCGTATTAGACCTGATACATTAATGATAAAATAATTATCCATTTTAGTGTATAATAGATATAAATTATATTATACATTTACTACATATAAAATTGAACAATAAAAAAAAACAGCCTAATCGACTTAGTTGACAATGCAGGGGCAGATGCAGTCGACTTTAAATTCAGTAAAATTATTGTATTTTGAAAGCTTATGGCGCCTTTTTATACTATAAATATAATTTTCTTGCATTCTACAATCTCATTTTACAAGTTTCAATTAGAATGAGTCATAATGAAAAAGTATCGATACAAGAAGGGAAGGAGCTTATCCCTTCCAAATTTTTATTTGCTACTAAAAATTTTGACATGAATCGAGATTCTGGAGAGTATTTTCCACAGACACCGACTGTAAATTGGAGATCATATAATAGCATTCTAGAGTCAAATTCGAAAATTTTTTCTGGAGTTTATCGCGATTTGTGCGAAGAGAAAGAAAGTGATCAGGTCATATGGAGAAATACCTACTTTTGGTTAAAAAGGAAATTTTTAAAATCTGATGCTTTCAAATTCATTAGTTTGGTGAGTAATTTTTATAGAAAATAATATATATAAACGCAATGAAAAATAAAAAAGGTGCCAGCGCTTGTTATTAAAAAATAAAGTGTTACAATGTACTATAAGAGTCTAAAAAGCACGCAAGATTTCTGGAACCGACTTTTATTAATATAAAAAATTTGTTACTATTGGGAGGGGGCGGGTATAAGTTATGAAACAGTATCTTTCCTGCTTCACTTGTAAATTATTAAAATATTAATGTTAGTTTATTAGAACGAATTGTTTTTCCAAGTAGAATGGAAGTTTAGTTTTTGCGAACTTCTGGATGAGGAACGTAAGGGGAAAAGAATATATCTTTGTGAAATTTAATATTTAATTTTAAATCAGTTACTTTAGGAAATAGCTTACTATGTAAAGCAGCTGAATCTCTTCAAAAATTAAGAGAGGTTTTTTTCCAATTGCGGACTTTTACAATTAATTTGCTACAACTTTATTTTAATTATTTGTGAGGTCGATATTGATATAAAAATTAAGTCATATTTACTAGTTGCTTTGTGAAGTGATTATGGATAGCAATTCTTTTCACTCTAACGCATTCAAAATCTTTTCTACCTTTCAGCTTCTCCTTGATATTAAGTGCCTACCTATTTCTAAAATTGTATTAAATAGGAAATATGCTTTTACAAGCTTTATAAATAAAGGAAAAATAATTTTTAAAGTTAAAAGCTTTTTTAGTAAAGCTTTTTTAACACACCAACTTTAAACCTAGAGATTTTAAAAAATTACTCTATATATGTTTTGCGTTATTTATATTTATCTTATTATTAGGCCGTACGATATCCCGCAATTTGAAAGGTATTCTTTAACATAAAGGCAGTTAAGTGTTACAGGTTTTCGTCCATCTCAAAAAAGTTTCTCTATAGATCCTGTTTGTACCCACAAAAAGTTAAGAGAATCTAATGGAAGGTGGGTTGAGTGTTGTGGCTTGGTTAACACTGTTAGCTTGGAATTTTCCCGCTTGTAAGGGAAACCTCGCTGGGTATAGCTAAACTTTTTTGAATCTTTTTCCTGTCCCCAGGAAGGCCACTATATATAAATGTAAAAATTTAAAGTGTCAGAATTTCGTGTTTTATGAAGAACTGACTCGGAGGTGCTTTAATAACTTGGATAGGAAAGATTATCTCCTACTTGTTATAAAAGTTGTAGGAGGTGCGGTTGGGAAATGGAAGAGGACTACAGAATGCGAATAAGCGAAGGTTCTTCTCTGGATTATGAGATAGAAAATCTTTATTTCTTGCTTTATAGAAGTTCAAATTATTACTTTGTCAAGCCATTCCCTCGCCAAGATCAAAAAACTGTATGCTTGCAGGAGCCAATTGCCATATACTTAACGGGTAAGAATGTTTTTAAAAGCTGCCTAACATCCGGTGCTAACAATAATACAAGATGACCTTATTAGAAGGTGTGAAATAGGCGATTACGTTAAGGTTAGTGGCTTTGTTGCAAACAAGATCATTAGAAGCTGTAAAGGCGAACTGGGTATACTTACTGACCGTTTGATCCAGAAATACTACCTCCAAGTAGTAAAAGATTTTTTTGTACGCTAAGTTTACCCATTGCTCACTTTTTAGGCAACGGAAGTTGTTGCTAAAAAGGTTTTGACTTTATATAAAAGTATTATGCGGACGGGCACATTTTATTGTGATTGACAAGAGAAAATATACTTTCTTTTGCCTGCTCGTCACCTTTAATAGGAGACTGTAGAGTAAAAAGGCCCCTTTTTACTATAGGAGTCACTTTACGGATTAAGTTCAGATGGGGTCACCGGTGCCATTTCGGGTCAGCAGCCCATTCTTTTTTGCAATATAAAAACTCAGTTTTTTTTTTGATGCAAAAAGGCTACCATGCATTAAAGCTGGCCTCCACCGCTCTTGGTTATACAAAAGTCTTACAAGGTTTAAATCCGCATTTACTCATCAGTATTCCACTGTAAATTGAGGGACCAAGCATTATTTTCTGGATCTGCTACTCCATTTGAGCCTAATAATGTCGTATTGCAAGGTCAACAGCGACAATGTAGATATACCCGAAGGGCCTAAAAATGCACGGTAACCTGTTTTTCCAATTTAACTTTAAATCCTTAAGCCACGAAAAGCAGCCGAAAAACGTTGCACGTCCTCGTGTTGGGAGTTGAACATGATACCATGCAACAAATTAGGGCCGCCAGCATGCGCGCTCAGTATTATGCACTGAAAACCAAAAGTCTCAAGTTAGGCCCAGCGGTATATAAAAATTCTAGCGGACACATCATTTTGGCTGGTAAACTTGTTTTTACTTACGTTTGTCCTGCGAGACACAGTGCAAACTTTACCCCTTAACGGGAGGGATCCTAGCGGGTGGAAATAGCAAAGTAGTAGTGGTGCAGGACGCATTTAATCTCGAGAAAGCGGAAAAGGCGGAACTTTTGCGAGGTTTCTAGCAAGATGTGGACAGCAGTGGAAAACTAGCTGCTTGAATTGTTTATTACAGCTTTAACTCAAAGAAAAACAAAGTGCAAAAAATTGAAAATTCCTTTAGAGCTTTCCTTCTTGGGGACAGTTTGGGGGACTGCCACCAAGTCTCAAGGGGTTTTAACTTTAAAATATACTCTCTTGCCTACACTACTCTAAATGGTCGCAATATGTAAAAGCTAGCGACCGATCCTCTTTTTCAGTAAGCCAATTACCTAAACATAAATAGTTTTTTTTTTAACTCTTAAATTAAGGGCTTTTGACCTGATAGTAAATGTTAGCAGCTTAGAAGACGGCATATGCAAAGTGCATTGTCAGGATATAAGCTTTGAGGTTATAATTAGTCAAAGGAACACACTCCCCTCATAGTATAATTTCGCTTTAGAAAATTTTAGAGCGCAGTGATGCACCTGTTAAAATTCCGAAGCACCTGATAAATGTGATGCACTCTTTTTACCTTTCAAGGTATAAAAATGAAGTTACTAAAACGTACATATTAAAAGTAACAATGTGTAGTTGCAGTTGGCTTAAAAAAGAGCTGCCGATGGAATGTTTAAAAACTTTGGTTCTTTAAGAAAAACTTACTAATAAAACATGTATAAGAGTTTTCCGTTCTACTGACCTCTCAGATTTGTATTGCGAGCGCCCTGGGAAAACTCACGAGGTGCTTAGAGGTTTCTGATTCTAAAAAACTCGTGCGATCTCCCTTATTGTATGCAAATAAGTTTCCCAAGAACTGGTGACTCTAGCAATTCTCATTTATGATAAAACAATGACCCTAAAATGGGGTGTTTCGGTGTTGAAATCAATTTCTTCCGTGACAATGGAGAAATAATAACTTGCAAGACTGAGGCACTTATTTTAGTCATAATAACTTTATTTATTCAAACTAAAAAAAAATAGGAAGAGTACTACTCTAGCATCGCTACGTTTGAAAGTCAATTAGCTGCCTTTAATAGAGATTTTAGTTAGTAAATAATACTGCTAGTATATAATAAAATTACTCCTGGCGACCCTATAAAGATACCGAAAAAAAACAAATAAGCGACTATGTAACCAAAAATAGTAACAAACCAAGCACGTTCTTAATCGGAATCGCTCTCAAGCGCACTTTCCTCTGAGGACTAAAAATATTACAAGTAAAATCGACTGCTTCTCTTGAAAGTATAAATAAGAGTAAAAACCGAGGCCTTCTCTTCTTCAGTATCCTCCTCAACTGCTTCCTTCGGCGCTTTTTTTTTAGACACCACCTCATACTATCACATAACCGAAATATTCAAAACATTTGAGAAAAAAGCTATTTATAAAAATGTTTACGCTAAAGCTTTGCCTTTGCGGACTCATTACGTACGAATCCGAAATAATCCACACCTCTACTTGGTGTAACTGGGGTCTTCTGGGAGCTTTAAAGGCAAATAAAACCTCGTATAATAGAAACTCAAGAAAAGCTTAAATGATTACTAATATGAAAAACCTCGGTGCTGGCAACGAGATTTTCAATCCTTTTAGGGGGTAGTAGTAGTTTTTTGTCTTTAGCCTTCAGCAACAAAGCCCACCAACCCTCATTTTTTTGCTTACAAAAGAGGGATGAATTGTATGCACAACAATGCCAATAAAAAGACGCACGAGTGGGAAGCGAGGGCAGTGCACTGGAGGTGACAGATGTCCAAAATGTTTAGTCTAGATATTTTACATCAAGAAAACGTACAATTAAGTTGAAAAAAGTGCAACTCTCTTGTATGGTCTATCTTCCACGTAGCTCTCCGCGCCAGCGCAACCTTATAATAAGATAAGTGTCCCTAAGGGCCGTTAGTGAACTACCAAACGTTATTTGCCTTCTGGAGACAAGCTTGACTTCCGAGACTGAATTTCTGCGTGCTCCTTAGTGGTAACTTAATGTTTTATAATAAGTATTATAAAAGGATAGTGCTCAAAAGCGCGGGTAAGTATATAAACCTCTTTGGAGCTCTACAATGAGAGACACAGTGCTCTCCGCGTAGACTTTGTCATTATCGTATAAACCTAACTTTAAATTAATTAACAGGGCAGGCATGCCCTCGGACAGCGTGCAAGTCTAATTTAATTTAATAGGTTAGCACTACTGATAGCTGCAATGTGTAAGGCACAAGCGTGAATATTGTCACCTCTTCAAATTGTGTTGAAGTAAGCAGAGGATTATTTTTATTGTTAAGCCCTATTAAAAAAAGAGTGAGTCCAGTCAAATATGTTTTTTAGTAATCAGTACAAGATTTTTTCTCGGCAGGAGACATGAACACAAAGGCCGCAATAGTGGGTGGGGCACGATCGTCCAGCATTTCCTTACGTGAATTTAAAGAGAGCAGGCATTAGTATGCAGAAAAGTAGTATACTTTTCGAATGTGCGGAAGCATAAGAAGAGGACTTGCCGTTTCGTGTACACCTTAAGCCAAAGTAAGAGCAAAAAAGTGTATTTGAGCCGATCAAGCTACCTTGCAGAAGCATCTGATGGAGTTTTATGCAATTCAAAGTAGATTCCACATAACATTTGCCGAAACCTAAAAGTAATAAGTTATGGGGCCCTCATTAAAATTTTAAAAAAGATCAAACCCAAAGTGGGAAGCATGCCGTGCAGAATCAAATCAGAAGACTTGGCAACTATTCTGCATCACGGTAACAAAAAAAAATATGGCCATAAATAGTAAAAAAAAAGGCATGGAAACTTTATGCTAAAAATTACTTCATTTGGAGTTCTTTTAGTTTTTCGGGGTTTACCAGCCCCTTAATATTGTCGAGGTCTATACGATAAAAGTACGCATACAGAAGAACCCGAACAGTTCTGCAGTACGCTGCGTTGATCTAGACATTTTCAAGTTATTAAAGTTTGGTTAAAAAATTATAAAGGCTTAACTTTTAGCGAATCCGGTGGTTGAGGAAAAGACTTCTCAATCTATAAAAAAAAGAGAGGAAATTAATTCCACAAAAAGCAAATAAATTTATATGGTTACAAAACATTATTTCAATAGGGCAAAACTGTAAAGAAAATTTATAAAAGAAGCTGTATATACAACCAATTCTATGGATTTTTGTTCTAAGGCCTTTAGACTAATCATGCTTGCAAACTCCAAGGATGCACTTAAAGTCTCGATCAATTCTAATAGTCTTTTAAGCCATATCCTAAAAATAACAAGAAAATTGCAAAAGTTACCACTAATAGGCATATTTTCTCTTGCGTAAGTGTAGAAAGCCACAACAGAATGCCGCAAGACCTGGCCACAAAAAGATGCAAATAAATAATTTTTTTTAAAAGAAAAAAATTGAGATCTACACTTCTTACTTTATGAGAGGAAATATACTTCCCTGCTTCCCACCACTTTGAGGCCTTTAATAACATTTAAGTGATATTGGTTAAGCTGTTGAAGTTAAAAGAAGAGAACTGACCGCTATAAAAGGGAGAAGAACCATAAAGAGTAAAAAGTAAACTCCGAGGACCTGCCCCATTTAGTATTAACCTCAACAAAAGTTTGTTAATTTGAATGTTTGGTACTCACAATGTAACGGTTTTCCTGTTCTACAAGCCATTGTGGAACAGCGTAGAAAGACACCGCAGCTTAAAGAATTTTTGTTTTGCAGATTAAAAAAAAAAACTTGAAAAGAAAGGCTCCAAACTTACCTTGAGGGCCGTCTGGGTGGCCGTACTTCTCCCAGTTCTCGCGTGCTTTTTCATCAGTGAGTCTGAAATATAAAACAAAAGTAGCAGGAATTAAAAAAGTTAAGTCTCAAGCTTCAGTACGCCTTATAGGCTTGAACTATTTTAAAAAAAATCGTTTCTGTGGTGTTGTCACCGCCGTGGACGTCCGGATGGTAGAGTTTACTTAGCTTTCGATAAGCATTTTTTACTTCCCTAGTAGAGGCCCCCTGCAGGGAGGTGTGAGATATGAAATAGTTTATCTAGTAAACTAAAAGCAAAAAAAAAAAAATTATGTAAAAGTTAAAGGTAGAATTATGTAGGTAGTTTACTATGAGCAAACGAACAATAAAGTTATATAATTTAATAAAAAATAATACGGAAAAAAAATTCAAAAGACCGAATTTGTCATTAAATAAAAGAATAGAGAAAACAATAAAAAAATACCATTTCAAGTCCTAAAATATCATAAGGGTTGAACAAGAAATCCTCACCAGCTACGCTAGTATCATACTTATAAATTTTCCAAGTAGTTAAACATAAAAGAAGAAGAGAAGCAAAGTATAGAAGAGTCCTGTATATATATGCGTTAAAAATTATATGACTAAAATTAAAAAATTACAGAACTAATAAGAATTGAAAGACACCTTAAAGATCCTTCTCGTGCTTTAATATAATTAACTTTTCTTAAACAAACTTTAATAAAGGCCTGGCCGGAATTTTTGGGTTTCGCGTAGGAGTAGGCTGGTTTTAATTTATAGTAGGTAGCAGGTACGAGGTAAACAAGAAGAGCGGATAGTAAAAAGTAATATGAGGTTATTCCTTCCGTGTCAAATAAGTTTTGACCTGCCATTAACCTCCACAATAAGAAGAGAGAAGTTTCAAAAAAAAGTAAACAACTTGGGAGGAAATAAGAGGGCTATGTTTAAAGGGCAGTGAGCTTTTTAACAGCACAAGATAGCAGTAGACGCCAAAATTCAAGTAGCCTGTGGTGAGTTTCGAAGCCTCTTATAAACTCTACCCATACATATAATAGAAACTATGTTCCTGGTTTGAAAGGTTCTTCGCAAGAACAACAGAGAGTCCTTAAACCTGATTAATTTTTTAACTATATATATTTTTCGTTAAATCCATACAGGTGGAGAAAGAGAGACAAAAAACATTAACTTATATAAAACGCGTGGCGATAAAAATTATTAAATAAGAATCTTACTAATAAGCATACATTATATACATGAATTTCTTAAGCTGAGACGATGAATTTAGGTTGTTCAAAATGATTTAAAGGTGGATGTAAATCAGTTGTTACTTCATTTTTATAGAAAACAAAGCAACTTTTCCGTCCTCTACACACTTTTTTTAACCCTTTTAAAAGCTTTTTTAATACGTTATTTTAAAAAACTTTAGGCCTTTTTAAGAGCAGAGTTATCATAAACCCTTCTACAGTGCTATTGTCTTCAAACCACCGAGCGCCTGTAAGGATCCAAACACGAACAAACGAAAACCGCAAGGGCCCTCCTTTCTGATGAGGAGCTCAAAGTCGGAGAGGCCTGTCTAGCAGTGGTGCCAGCAGGTGTCTCCAAATGGCTTCGTGTCTTGTGCTTAAGGCTGCTTCATCCGGTGGTAGTTTTTACGTTTTCCGCCACACCTGGCAGAATGGCGGAAGTCCCGGCCCTATATATCCCGCTTATTCAGTCCTTCGGTACAGAAAGAGCGTACACTGGCGTGCACTCATGCTCCAACCCTACAGCAGAGGGAAATTCAGATTGAGCGGCTTAAAGTCTTAAGAAGACCGAACGTAGTATGCCAGTGCTATAAAAAAAAAAATTAAGGCCGCAGTTCGACAAATCTGGACTATAAAGTTGTTGTTCGTGTGTCTCCCAGTTCGTTATTTCTTTATAACTCTGCGCGAACCCCTTGCCATTCTTGGATGTCTTGTACAGATAAATTTTGCCAAACTTTAATATAAATTTTTAATTTGTTTACACATACATCCTTAGGCTAATTTCTTACTTGTTTACATGTAAATAATTCTTACGCAAACTTAGCAGACTTTTTTTTTTAATTCACTCCACTAAAGACGAGCAGCGAGTACGCTACAAATGAAGAACTTAGAAGAGAGTTTGATTTTACAAAGGAAAATGTTGAGGAAAAGACCTCAGTTCATAAATTTTCGCCCAAATTATCCATTTTTAATCAATTTTTATGCTTATTATTTAGATTACTTCATTGCCTAGTTGCTAGTATATGATGAAGATTCACGAAAAATAAACCGGCAGTCGTGTTAATTTTTTAGTGTTTTTTTTGTTTGTCGCATCTGTACATCTTTATATATATATATATATACTTTACAATTAATTTTAAAGGGCTTAAAAGTTTAGATACCTGTCAGTAAAGGTTTAAATACCTTAACAGAAAAACTTAGTTAACTAACTAAAAATACTCAGGATAAAGTCTAGTCTTAAAGTCGAAAGGAACTTTGTGATAATAAACTAACAATAATATACATATTTGGTCTAGCAGATTAGTCCAATCATGAACTTCCTAAGTGAAATTAGAAGAAAGCGTGACTTCAAAAAATACAAATAATAAGGCTATTGATGGTGACATAAATATTAATATTTGTAATAATCATTAAAAAAAACGTAATTGCACTATAAATTAAAATGTAAGTTTGAAACAGTTATAGGAATAGTAATACTGTAAGTAGTGATACATATGAAAATATAGTAATAAGTACAGTTGATAAAAATTTTTCAAGAAAACTAGGAAAGGTAAAACTTATTGGTGGCTTTGAGATGCTCTCGAAAGCATAAAAGGCATCTTAAAATGTCCTTATTACAACCGAATTATCTTTTTTTGCACTCAAAATAATTTTTTTTTGAAACTTGCAAACCAACGACGCAAAAGTTTATATAGTCAAAATGTCTGATGGTTATCATATTTCTGGTAACGTCCGGAAAATAATAGCATCAGCCCAGCGCTTATTCGCAAATACTTATTACTTAAAGCTAAGCCAAGGGCGCGTCGCTTTATGTATATATTGAATTCAATTACAGAATGTTCAAATGGTAAAAAAAACGTTCCTATTATACTCAGGTGTGAGGGGAAAGGCATTGTTGTTTCAATAAAATTTCACTAAACTTACTTTAGTCTACTAAGAAGAGTTAACTCAGGCTGAACTGAACCTGAGAACAGATGATGAAAAGAATGCGTTAGTTCACGTAGAGATGACGTCCTCTTGATTGCTAATTTAGGGAAGTTAAACTATCTTTAGAACTACCACCAATTTTTTTTCTTACTCCTAAAGAGGGAGTTAAAGTATCCTAAAAGTCTATTATCTTCTCACTAATGATTTTTCCTTAGAACACATTATTAGTTTGCCTTGGCGTTGTGCTCTTTTATATCACTGGTCTATATTATATATTACCACCTTAAAACTATTTAATAATAACTTATATATATTATCATTAACTACTGATAATGTTCAGAATCATTCGCGAGACCAACGGGAGCAACCTTATAACCCCTACAAGCTAAATCGAGGATTAAAGGTTGTATTCCACCTATTACCATCTTTTTTTTGGTCAAAGATAACCGCCTGATTGTTTAAGTCTCGTAAAAAATTATGCTTTAAATATTCGTTCAGGGGAAGCGGGAACTTAATACTCGCTGTGGCAGCAATTTACTGCGACAAGCGGAAGAAGAATTTAGTTCGTTGTTTGACTTCTTATTTGTAATAATTACGCCTAAGAGGTCAAAAAACTTAAAGTTTCATTTTTCCAATGGATTGTCTTCAAAAAAACTAGGTGAAGTAGTTGCCCACTAACTTTAAATTAAAAAGAGTCATAGGTATTCTAAAATTTTTTGAAAATGTGTTATCTTTTATCTCTTACGGAATTATATATTTTAATATAAATGTAACAAACACAATACTTAGTCAATGGACCTATAGGAATTATATTAAACAATCTATTGTATCTTAATATTTTTGGTAGTGACTGTATACATTCCAATTAGAGAGATGAAAACCTTTTACTAGTATTAAGTTGCTTCTTTAATTACTCGAAGAATTTTTTATACCGGTCCCTGTATAGCTAAACTGTTGAATTGGTAGCGCTTAATTAGTAGGTGAGTAGGTGGAGGCTTGACTTAAAATCTGTAGTAAATGGTCCATGTTTAAATTATCTAGTTAAATAGTTAACTAAGTATTTACTTAGTTGTCCTCTAGGCTACAAAGATATTTATTAACTTTGACTGAAATGCTCTCTAGACTGAAATTAATACCTTCATAATATTGCTGTTCCTCTAAACCAACGTAAAACTACATACATCAAAAACTTGTTTAAAGGCCGAAAAGATAGATAGAATGGAGAAAAAAATAGAAGACTCACAAAATGTTTTATTATAAGATATATATATTTATATTATACGTATGAATGCAATTAAATTAAAATTACCTTATAAATAATATATAGTTACCCTCATTTTTCAAATATTAGATATTTGCTGTAAGGTGATTAAATTTTAAACAGTCATATTTTGGATAAGTCATATTTAATGGTAATCAGCGGGATCTTTGCGTGTAAGGGGAAACAACTCGGAAAGTTCGCTAAACCGTCATGTATATTTAGATAAAATAGAAAACTCACAGTTCGTATAGGAATGGTTAATGTAAATCCGAGGAAATTAAAAGTTGGAGCCACTCAAGGATCTTTTTATCGTCGCTTCGCTTCGCAATTTATATGGCAGACATGCCCAAATCAAGTACCGTATCAATGGTCCAATATACGGACAACACAGCTATATTATGCAGTTCCAAATCGTCGGAGCTGTATGTTAAATACATAAACTTTATTTGCACACTCTGGAAACCTTGTTTACTAGTTGAAAGGTAACGATCAATGCTTTTGAGAGTGGAGAAAGGATAACTTTAAGAGTTAACATTCAAAACCGCAAAAACTCTACATATGTTTAAAACTACTAATCCGTAGAGCTCTCGGTAAGGTACTTATGAGTTATTATAGATCATAAATTAACTAGGGTTAAGTTAAGTTGTAACGAATTAAATGAACGCTGCCAAGAATATTCTATATCTATTAATATGTAAACGCAGCAAAGTCCACCTAAAAAATAAACTGTTTTTATATAAATTCATAATTTTCATAAATATGATGTATGCTTCCGTTTGTTGGTCGTACTCTGGGCGTTATACAAACAGACTACAGATTTCTAAAAACAAACTCCTCAAGGAGGTCACGAAGGCATCATGGTTTATACCTAATGCTTCATCGTGACTGGGGGATAATAACAAATAAGATTTTGTTCGTACTAATTGCGAGTGAATGCTATAAAGAATACAGTGAACATACTAATATTTTTTAGCCGCTGCTGTTACAAACCGGGCTGGTATAGGTATAAAGCTAGAAACAACCTCGACGACAAACTTATTCGACATCGTCTTTATAGTCCTATTAGAGGAGAGCTGAACGCCCAACTGCAGGATGTGTTCGTAGCGGTCGATTAAGGGCGGTCATCTTTTTGACGCTTGTCAAATGTATAAATTACTGTTGCCACACTCCACCTCCTCAGTTTAGTAAGGGCGTAATAGTGACAGTGTGTGACGATGATAAAGCGGTGCTCTTTAATGGCCAGCTACCTGTTCAGTGCGTGCCTTTAACTTGGGCAACCTTTGAGGACGAAGGTAGGATACCGCAGGACCTCCCCAACTATGGTTGACGGTTTTACTAAACCGAGCTCATGTGTCTCTGATATAGTTCTGCACTTTTACGATTAAAGCTCCCCGGCTCCGGCATTAATTACGTGACGCTAAAAAAAGTTGCAACCGGTGACGATTGACCGTCATCCCTGTTTGGGAACTTCTGTAATATTGCTTAACTCCTTCTCAACGCAATGGAAAAGGCCATTGTCGTGGTGCTACCCATGACTTTGCGGACTTTAGCGGCCTCCAGAAATTACCGGTTCATTAACCTTCTTTCAGCACTTGGCAAACCATGGAGGCTGTTCTACTAAACAGGCTTGAAGAATTGTAAAACATAGAAAACGCTTTCATTTCAATTTGAAATCTTAAGAGGTAATTTGAAGAGACAAAAACTTTTGCGCTCTGTTAACTTGATAACTCAGCACTTTAATTTATGAGAAATGCACGTACGTCGCCCTTCCCGAGGTTGCAAAGTCTTTGACCGCGTATGCACGAGGTCTCCCTACGCAAACACGCACATTAAACTAGCTTTAAGCGTGCGTGCTTAAACTCCAATAGCACAGTTCTTTTAATTTTTTAAAACAATTGTTTCCTAGAAACACTCTTTAAGTCAATACTAGAGAAACATTTACTCAGGAAGAAGGTCCATCAGCTAAGTCCATATCGCCTCCGGTGGTTTTACGAACGAACTATATAGTTACTACAAAGTAACGTTAAATGTTACTATGCAACTGTGACCTACACAACTGAATTTTACTAGGTTTAGGATTAAACATCCATACTAGCTTCTATAAAATCTCTACCGGACTTTACTACAGAAGTTCTAGTAGTGAACTTGGTTATAAACGGGTGAAGTGATTCAATCTAAATACTCATGTTTACAGCTAAACGTGCCGAGAAAAATTACATGAAATAAGTCATTCTAATAACTGGTTGGTCAAAACAGAACCTGAAGTTAGGAGATTGTGGGATTGACAGAAAATTACAATCAAATCAGGACCAGAATTGAGTTGAGATTAATAATATCACTGAACCGCTTTTCCATCATTATTAACTCCCCCTCGATTGTGGAAAGCTAGTTGGTTGCTTAAAACACTTAAAGAGAAAGCGTTAAGGAATTCACTGAAGTTAGTATTGTCATTTTAGTTGCGCTGCGCATGATATGACTATCGTTAATTTGTCAGTTTGTCAATTTATATTTACTGCTGCGCATGGTGGCGTTGGTTTGAGAGTCAGTAGGGGTCTTTCCCTCAAGAGTAGTCCAGGTCTGTATATTCCTTTGGGAGGTAGGAAGATAAGCTTGTATGACCGAAAAAGATAATAATCATTAGGAATGATTAAAAAAACTATGCACGTAAAAGTAGGGGCTTTAAAGGAATTATGAGATGGAATGTTGAAGGGCTCAAAACCTTAAAAATGCTTTTCTCCCGCTCTCAAGGTGGACATACCTATTTGAAATGATGGAAAATCTAACAAAATGAGAACGCAAAATTATTATATGTGACTACTGTTATAACCCAAACAAAGAATATAACATTTCAATGAGGATAAAAAGCTCAATACTAAAGGAAATTAGCGTAAAAAAAAGACAAACTCAAGATTAAAGAAAAAAGATAAGGAAAAAATATGAAAAGAACAATTATTGTAAAAATAAAATGTAAGGAAAATAAAGAATAATTGAGAGTAATAGCAGAACAGTCTAGAGCAAAGGTAAGGCCGAACTTTTTATAAAGATTATAACGAGTTTTGACTATGTAAGTGTTGGAAAATAACTACTATAGAACAATAATTGCTACCATATTAATTTTGTCCTGAGTCAGGACAATATGAGTATATACTTTTTTTGTGAAGCTTAATAAAACTTATCACGTTTTGCGTTTTCCCCTTCTCCCTTGCCTTTTTTTCTTATTTTATATTTTGAGGCTGTTTAGGGATGTATCATAAATTGTTTGTCAATAAGTACTCGTTGCCTGGCAAATTAGTACAAAGTTTATGTCCTTCAGGGCTATAAAAAAGCTACGTGCTATCCAAGGTAAAGACCTCTCGGGTGTAATGCAAAGCAACTCGATTAAAGATTATGATTCCGTTTCTTTTCTACTCGTTATTTAGAAGACTTTATTTGAGGAAGGTCAATCAGAGATAACAATAGTTAATAAAAACAATGAGTTCTGGTTCTACCTTTTCTTTATTATTATTTACCTGGGCATTAGGGACTACGCGAGATAAAAGTTTATTTCTGTATAGTTTTAAAGGGTTTGTACCTTGTACCTAATTTAACAGGCATGAGCAAATTTGTGCTGGGATAAGTTTAGCATCCCACCCGTGGGAGGATTTTTGGTTTTGTTATATTCTTTATAATAAAGCGCTTTGTCACTTTTTTGTGTTCTGCTTAAGTCTCAGTTGTTCCATACTTGTTATTAGTTTTAATTTAATATAATTGCTCTTTTCTTATTTCCCGAATATTACTGTTGGTTTAGTTGCTTTATTATTTTTTCAAGTTTTTGACTTTTTATTACTCTTACTGCTGTTACTTTCGCACTTTTTATATCCGTAGAACGTTATAATCTTTTTGCTTTATAACAATTACTATAGCAGTATAATCATCAGACAACATTAAATACTTATAGAAAAGGGAAAACGAGAAAAGGGGTCAAACACACTTTTCTTCTTGCCCTCAACGCTCAGTTTAATATATATGAACTACGCCAATAATGTTTAGGTAGGAAAAAAGCGGATGCATGTCTATCGAATTGCCTTAAGCCTGCACCTGAATGACAGAAGTGAGTAGAAGGGGCGTTATACAAGAAACGCATACCAACATGCTTAAATAGCCGTAACTGGCTATAATTAGCACAAGACGATAAAGCGTGCGTTTTTCAACACACCTAGTAATAAACCAGTTATAATTAAAATTTATCAAATAGTTTTAAACTTTTTTGATTCAATAACCAATGTGGCTTAATATAAAGGTTTATTAGGCGCGTCATGATTTTGTATAATGTTGCAAGATTTATAACCACCAAGAATTTTTTGAAAACTGTTGTAAGTATTAGCTAAGGAATTAGAATAACGAAAAAGTTTAACCTGCTTCTGTTTAGAGGATAAAATCTAACTAGAAATTGTCATATTTGTATAAAATTATATTTAGTTAAATTGTCTGCCAAAAAGATTAAAAAGATACTTTCCTTTAAGTTTATTAGTTTATAAGGTTTACGGTTGGTTTACCTTTGCATAGTTAGTTTTGTATGGATGATTGTCCTTAATGTGTATATTTATTATTTTTTGTGTATATGTTAGGGTTTTATGTATATCTCTTAAATAAACCCGTTAATAAAATTTTAACTAACTTATTAATTTTTCGATGACAACATATTCCACTTTTAAAGAACTTGGTTTTATATTAGGTAATAACTTTAACTTAACAAAAAACGTGGAAGTATTCGGGACAAGGAGGCGCCACAAGCGTTCTATTACCACTGCAAGTTGGTGTAGAATAAAATTATTACATGTTTAAATATGCCTTCATAAAGATATATAATTCTATTCAACTTTCCAACGGTTTTAGAGGACAATTACTTTATAGAAGGAGATAAGCTAGTTCACGAAGTACAATAGCTTTTAGTAGCTATATCGATGAAACAAAACCTTGCATGCAAGATATACTTGAGCGTAGCCATGATTTCTCGATAAAATTGTAAATCCGATATCTTACTTATTCTTTAAAGTATACGAAAATCAATAGTTTGTTTTAACAAAGAATAAATAGGTTGTTGTTTGCATATTAAAACCGTTTAAAGTCAATATTAAAGCCATTTTAAGTTTGTATAATGTAAAAAATACAAAAGGGAGCAGCAGGAGGGCTTCTTATATATGGTGGCGCATAGCTGGCTTAGAAAGTTATTTCACTTTTAATATCTTTTGTATTCGTTAATCTCTCAGAACGCGCACCTTGCTGCTTCCCTTGCCTTAGAATTTCAGCGTCTCTATTATTGCTTGAGTTTAAAGTTAATACACCCGTCTTAAGCTTTAAGTTATACTTAAGGGTGGATCGCCTACGCAATGAAAATATAATTTTTAAATAGAAAAAAAAGGAAATGAGTTTTGCAGATCTAAGTCGAGAATTTCTTAGAGATTACCATCTTGCCCTTAGAAATTTGGAAGATTCTTGGGAAGGTAAAGGGTGCGAATTTACAGTCCAAGAGAGTATTAGTAACATATTTAATCAATTTTGTTAAGCTTTGGGCATAAAAGAGGATGAAAAAAATACTCAATTTATTTACATTAAAGAGGAGCTACTGGGAATCCTTCACGAAAAAGGTTTAATTTGTTCTTTTTGCGTACATTTAATTATATATAAAGATTATAAATATAAAGTTTTTATTTAAGTTGATGGACTCAATAAATTTCAGTTTTAATTTTAAAAGAGCTTAAGCGTTAATTAGTTTTTGTCTTAATTAATTTTTAATCAGTTTCGTGGTACAATACAAGAAAACACGAAATAGAGCTGGAAATTTTGGATTTAGAGAGAAACATTGAAAAAACTGTTACTTTACTTGCTGAAGATTTCCATTCATCTCGGATCCAATCTCAAGTTTACGGAAAGGTTTTTTTGTGGTGTTGCTGAAGATAATTTTTGTACTGTTATAAATTTTACTTAGAAAACATCTCTTATTGAAAAAAGAGATCAACTGAGTAGAAAGCACGAAGAATTGACCAAAGTGTTTAATTATTTTTTATTTATTAAATTATCATTATTTATGTTTAAATTATATACTTAAATTTTTTTTTGCTTATTATAGTAAAATTTACAATTTAATTTAATTTAAAAAAGAAATACGACGAAAGATTAGTCTTAAAAGATAAACTTTTGGAAGAAATTAGTACTATCAATAGTAGACTGGGATTAGCGCAACAGCGAGAATTGTTTGATGCTATGCACTTGAGTGTAAATTTTATAAACAATGCTAAAAATCTTTTACTCGGCCTACAAAAAGAAGAGGTGAATCTCTTGACTTACAATTAAATTCATATTTTTATAAAGTAAATTTATTGATATTTATAATTTTGTGAAATTTTATGTTTATGGTACTATTCTTATATAGTATACTTAATTTTATTAATAATTTAGAATTTGCGAGAAGCTAAGTTGGAGCAAAAGGTGACAATTTTCGAAATTTTTATAACAATTTTAGTATTACAATTTTCAATTATCTTTGTATATATTTATTTTTTATAAGATCCGTCTTGCCACGGAATTGCTGGACGAGCTTGAGCTTGATCCCATCTCTATACCCTCACAACTTGTGGAACAAATATATTCGGGCGCCAAAAATCTCCCTCTTACTGGTTTTAATAAAAACTTTTAAATTTTTACTTAAATTGTGGGAACTAAATTTTTTTTAATTTTTTAGACGAATTTTTGGCGTCTGTAAACTTTTTAATAGAAGAATTAAAAGAAAAAAAGAGTCAATTTATTTCTCGTATTGAGCAACTTTCTGCGCAGGTTTTTTTTTTATCTTTTTCTTTTTTAAAGTTATATTTTTTTTATAAAAGATCGGCGCGTTGTGGGCACGACTTGAAGATTCGAGCGAGCGCGCCAACGATGTACTAAAGCGGCACACTAAATCTTCTCAGAAGACTGTGCAAGCGGTTGTCTTTGTGGTTAATTCTTTTTTAATTTTTTTAATTTTTTTTTCAGCTTGAGGATGAAATTGTTCGACTGACTGCTCTTCGAGATGAAAAAATGGAAGTTTTTATAATCAATATTAAGAATAAACTTTTTTTATTATACGAGGAGTGTCGCGTGGGCAGCGAGCAGCGCTTGAATTTCGATTCGTTAACTGGTAAACACTTGGGATCTGAAAAGCGCGCACCGCTTCTTTGCTCATGAGATTTTCTGTAGATAATTGCGAAAAACTTGAAGCGTATGAGGCTGAGTACGAGCGCATGTCTGCTTATAAAAGTTTATTATTAATTTTTTTTAGAATTTAATTTTGATTAAAAGGTAAATTTATTATTTCTAGCGGCAACGTCCGATCTTTTTACTCTAATTCACAAGCGAGAGACGATCATTGCAGAACTTGAAGCTCTTGAGGTGCGCGTTGCCTACTAAAATTTTATAGATTGTGAGCGACTTTCTTATTGCAGATCGCCAGCAGGGATCCTTCGCGTTTTAATAATCGCGGGGGCCGTCTTTTGCAGGAACAGAAACAAAAGCAAAAGCTTGAAAATTCACTTCCAAAAGTAATTTTTTTTTAATAATTTATTATATAATTTTTTTTTAAAATTTTGGTTATTATAAGATAACCAACAAGTTAGAAGACGAGATTCAACGCTTTGAAGTTGCTAAGGGCGGCCCTTTTCTAGTGAATGGGCGGCCTTATAGAGATCTTTTATTACAAAACCAATTTATATTTGTTGAAAATAAAGAAAATTTAGTTTCTGCTGCTTGTGAAACGCCTCAACGAGAACAGTTGGTGCTTCGCACGCCTGGTTGGCTTTTTTTTTTTACGGAAAAAATTTGTTCTACAATAATCTTAAGCATCGAGCCAGCAAAAAAAACCCTCATCCCTGCATAATCTGACACCCTTTGGATCTTCAGCTACTCCTTACGCTTCTCTGAAAAGGAAGCTGCGTAAGTCTGAGATTTTCTAGTAATTATAAATATAATATATATTTTTAAGAATATCGAACACCCGGTTCAAAAATGTCAAAGCTCAACCCTCAGGATGACTCGCTTCTATAATAAATTCTGGAGACTGCCGAGGAGTTTACTTGGATATAGTAAGGGGTGAAGGCCTTTAAAATTCAGTTGCGTTCAGGCTTTATCTTGAGTCTCTCTCTTACTTTAAATTCGAAGCAATAAAATTATATAGTTTTTTAAAAAAGTAATTAATAACCCTCTAGGATTAAATGTCTTCGTGACTGTTGTCGAATATGTTAAAGTAAATTAAAGCGATTTGCTCTGGGCTCCTCCTCCATTCATCGAAAGATTAAACCTTTGATTCATATTATGGTTGCCGGCTGGATTGTTTAAAATCTCATAAAGTTTTCAAGCGAGCGAGCATCTGAATTTTTTTTACCCAAGTCTTTTATACTACGAGATTCTCGATAAGCAACCATTATTAAATCGTGTAACTTTAATATTAAGAAAGAGCGCAGACCAGAGCATTAAGGAAAAAAATCTTAAGAGTTTAAGCTAGATTTAAGCGTGTGCGGAATGAGGGGAGTTCAATGTGCCTTAGCGGGGAATATGGAGAACTTATGTATATATATTTGGTTTGTATTAATAATATTAATAAGAACGATTACAATAAATTTCATCTATAATCGGTTCTTTTATACTTGTAACCTGCGGAAGTCAGAGTTGTTAGTACAAAAAAAAACGTTGCTTTATTTCATCTATTTGCATTCGTATAAAAAACTACCTAAAAAGATGTATCTTAAAAAAATAAAAGTTACTCGGTACTGAGAATTTTATAATATTGACTTTGAGCTTGGTCATGTTTTCCGTCCATTAACTTTACTTTTTTTTAAGAAACGAAACAGTCGGCAAAGATTAAGAGCTTCGAAGCTTTACCCGCCGTCAGGGGCTAGTTGACCTAAATAATTTCTTAAGATTTACTAAAGATCGGGGCGTTATGGTTACTTCATAATATAAGAAAATGTTAAAAAATTCCAAAATTAATAAAACTTGAGAAAAGACAGCTGTAATCTTGCTTACGTTCGTTCTTCAATGCGTAGTTTAACTCTACCACCTACGTTTATTAAGTATAAAACAGGAATAGAACACAGAAGATAAGTTGCTTATAAGCTTGAGCGCAATGATTTAAAAGAGGATATTACCTTTACTTCACTACTCAATACTTAGAATTTCCTGTACTTAGTAGGAACAAAAAATTTATAATTTTTACTCAAGTTGTGGTGAAATTAGAAATATTTTTACGAATACCTTACAACATTAAAACTATTATATATACTTGCGAGGGACAGATTTTACGCAGGCAAGAACGTTACTTGAGCGTGTAGTTTTTATATAAGTTCGATTAAAAAAGTTTCGCTAAAACACTTTCTTTTCTTCAGTATCCTTCTTTATAATTAATCCACCCCTTTAAACAAAGCTGCTTTTTATTTAAACAAAAAAGTATCACAAGGATAACACACTATAAAAGTTTTCAACATAGGATAAAAAAGTCTGACAAGTAATTAGAAATTTTTTATAAAAATAAAATGCGAAGTGCTGGAAAGTTACTACGCCTGAAAAAGGGAAGCCCTTTTTTAACCCTACAGTAGTCGCAGGGGTCTCACAGATCTGGCTATTTTGTTTTCTAAATTTTAAATTAGGTGGAAGTTAAAGTTTATTGTGACCTGTATCCTAACATCTCAATAAACAACAAGTGTTCAAAAATTTACGGTATTTTTTATTTAATAAAAAAAAGTAAAAAATTAAAAACTATGGGGTCTGGGAGACCTACTGCGATTACTAATGTCTAAGTAAGAGATGCGACTACTATAGGGTTACAGCTCGCATATACTGGGCAGGATACGTTTTTATAACTGCTTCTCCCTCGTTGTGCTTGAACTCTAATATTAAAACTTTAGTACTTATAAGTGTTTTTACTTTTTATAGAAGACGATTTAGACAATTCACATGTTATTGCGTACGTGCGTATTTCGAGGAAACGCCGAAACTTGCCTTTTTGCTAAGTTCCCCTTTTTTAATTTCAAGCAATTCTACTGGAAAACGACAGAAGGTTATTCTTTTTGTATCTTTTATTGTTTTGTCTAACATTAACGTTTTTTTTTTTGGAAAAAAAGAAAAAACTGAGGAAACCAAAAAGAAAAAAGAAAGGGACATTTATCCCGCAATATCCCACTTATATAATTTCAAGTTTAAAAATTCTAAGAAAACCTTTGCTTATTTGTGTTTGGATAGAGAAGTATTTATTTCTGTTTGCTATTATTTTTTAAATTTAAGAAATAATTATATTAATTTAATGAATTATTAAATTCTCTTTCAGCTTAAGAAGTGCAATAAGATAGAGCTTGCTAATAAGCGTAAGCCGTGGAAATGGTTTCAAGGCCTTTCTGCTCACAAAAGAGATCGTCTTCTTTTTGAACATCTACATGGTTATCGCAAAGGGTTACTTTTTTTTTTTAATTTGTATATTCTTGCTTATAAATTATTTTAATTCATATTTGTACTTTTCCACTTTTAAATTAATTTTAACGTTTTCTTTTCTTTTTAATTTTATATAAAAAGTAAAAAACTTAAATTAAGGTTATTATTTTACTATAATTTTAAATTCAGTGAAATTAAAGTTGAATACGATGAATATTTTTATAATTTCTCTCAGCTTTTTAATTAAAAAACACTCATAGTTATAGAAAATGTATGTGTAGCTTTTATATATTTTACTAACTAGTTGTGTAGTTATATCTTTTCTAGTTAGTAATTAGAAGTAAATACTTCGATTTAACTTATTTATAATTTTTAAAAGGCGATAAATTTTCTTATTAGAGTTATTAATAGAAATTTTTCTTTCTTCAAATTTATAATTTTTGGGATTCTAATTATACATTTTATGTGCAATCGATTTTACGTCCTTTTTAGGTTAACCATAAATTCGGATAATATATAGTTTCTAGTATTTACAATTTTACTACTTAATTTATAATTTAATGTCGTTTTTAATTAATTAAAGCCTTTTATTTATTTATTTTACTTGACAATTTTTTTCTAAATAATTTTTACTTTAGTTGTTCTTAAATTTGGTTTTTCTTTAGGTTATTTAAAATTCTAATATACACAATTTATAGTAATTTTCTAATTTCCTATCGAACTTTTATTTTTTTTTGTAATCAATAATAATTAATTTTTAATTTACCGAACTTTTTTAACTTATTAACATTTATATTTTTTTATACAATCGCTAGCTGTAATCTTAAAATGAATTTTTTATTTATAAACTTATTACTTAATTTCACTATACAAATAAAATTTCGAATCTTTTTAGTTACAATCATCGAAATGCGCCGTTATTACCGTTGCATTCTTATAATCATAATCCCAAGCTGGTCAAGCATACGAAGCGTTTGTTAAAAGGAAGTAAACATTTAAATCAAAATTTTAAATTTTTTTTAAAAATTTTATTTTTAATTTTTAGTTTTTTATGTAAATTTTTCATTGGAATCTTTTTTTTATTATATTTTTATGTAAAAATTTTTATTATTTTAAATATAATATTTCTTGTTTTAATTTAATTTCTTCTCGAGTTATTAAGTTAGTTATATATTTTTTTAGATTGTTAAAACATTCAATAGTCAAATTGTTAAATTTTTTATTAACTTTTTTTTTCAACTTGGAAATTGATTTTATAATTATAATAATCTTTATCAATTATTTTGATTAAAAAGTTTTAAATTCTCGATTTAACATTTAATATTTATTTATTAAATTTTGTTAACTTTGAAAATTTGTGTATCATTTACATTTTTTTTATTTTTATTATTTAATTTAACTTTAATTTTTTAAATTTATTTTATAATTATTTATAAATTGCTATAATTTTTATTTATTTCTTTATTGTTTATTTATAATATTGCTTAATATATTGTTGGTTTTTTCTTGAGTTTAAAAGTTTTTATAATTACTAATAATATACGTTTTGTGAATTATGCATTTACTGTTTTATAATAATTATATTTTTTTAAAAAGGCTTTTTATAATATTTAAATCTGCGTAAAGTTACCATTATATATTTATTTACCAACTATCCAGTTATTATATTTACAGAGTAATATATATATAGCTACTTATTTAAATTAGTTTTAAAAATTTGTTGCTCAGAGTAGATCATCAAAGTGATTTCAAAATATGAAATTTTATAAATTTCCATTGAAAACTTTTTATACTTCTGATAATTTTTTTACAATTCGTAAAACTTTTTAACTAATTTACTTGGTTGGTTGTGGCTCATTTTCGAAACAACCGCATAACTTTTTATCTGTTTATGCATTCCAAATTGCTTACTGATTAAGTATTTTGCATCATATTATATTAAGTTTGCTCGTTTTTCAAACATGCTTTACTATTTTTCCTAGTATACTTAATAGTTATTAAATTTAATTTATTTTGTTATTTTATTATTTTATTATAAATTATTCGGAATCTTTTCTTTTTATAATTAATATATCGAAGTTGAATTATATTTTGCCTTTATTTAATTTTTTTTATACATATTGTCATATTATTAAATAATGCAAATTATTAACAAATATATAGTTATTATTATATATATTGATATTATGAAAATGTTGATATTAAAGAGTCTGTACTGCAAATAATTTTTTTTTTGGTATTTATTGTTGCGTAACGTTTTTAATTATTTTGCTTCAATTTATATTGGCCGACTTTGTATAGACAAGCAGGAATTTTTCTATAAGTATTTTATTAACTGCGAATGCGAATATAATCGCTTAAATTTTGAGTATTTTGCTTCAATATATAATAATTAGCTCCTTATTTTAATAGGCACAGGTAAGTAACATATTTTACTTAAATATTTTTATTGGTTGTACAGGCGAATTCATCGTGTACCTTTAGGTATTTTGTTTCAATTTAAATTAATTTGATCTGTTATTTACACACGCAAGTAAAAATAGTACTGCGTCCGCTTACATTTAAGTGTTTTGCTTCAATTTATTATTAATATGGTTCCTTACTTAGACCTGATAAATAACAACAAAGTTATAACCACAATCCACCATTACTTTTTTGCATCTAATCACCATTATAGGGCCCAATAATTTTTTTAAATTTCGTCATTATGCACTTATTCAAATATTCTGTTAGATTATCAATCAATGCCTTCTGTACAGTTTTCAATCATTCGGCACCCATTTATAACATACTGGCCAATTTATTTTTGCTGTTATCCACCATTTTTAAATCCATTCGCGCCAATTTACTTTGCTAAGCTCATTAACTCATGCAATCTAAATTATTCTTCATCAGTTTACTAAGTTTGGGTCGATATTTGTATTAATTTGCATCATTGGCAACGTTAGTTTCTAATACTATTTTTCAGGCTCACTACTAGGCGATACTTTCTAAGTATATTCAGCACCATTAAAGTTTTTTTTTCAATAATATTTATGGATCAATTGCCCTTTTTTATATTGTTTTAAAACTTTTATTTTTAGTTTATTTTCTTTTAAGTTGTATAAACATATTTTTGACCGTTTTTTATATTTTCTTTTAGCTAAACATTATTTTATTGTAGTGTAAAAAACTTTTGAACCGTTTTTAAATAAACAATGTTTTTTTCGGCCTTTTCCATATTATTTTTATAACTTTTTTTTTGTTTTTTCTTAATTTTTTTTATTTTTTTTAAATGTATTCGGACCGTTTACTATATTTTTTTATTATAGTTTAAAAACTTTTGCATTTTTTTTAATAAACTTTTTTTTTTTTTACTAATTTATAAAAATGGTTAATATTTTATGTATTACATTTATGAATTGACAACTTTTTTTTTCTAGTTTTTATAAACTTTTTATTATTTCTTTTATAATAAATTTTAAAGCTAATTATTTTTAAATATTTTTTTAAACTTGTTAACCTTTTTCAGGTTTTTTTTAATGTTTTTATAGTAAAATAAACTTTTAATATACTACTTTACCGTTTTTATTAAGTTTTATAAAACTTACTTTTTTTTGTAGCTTTCCAACCTATTTTTACAAGTTATATAAACTATATATATATATGTTCATGCGCTTTTTCTATATATTTATAGATAAACTTTTTTTTTAATCATTAATAAACTTTATATGTTTCTACGTTTTTTTTTCTATATTTTATATTAAAACGATAATTATCATTATTTATCAGAGTCGAGTTCGCAAGCACGCCACCTAAAATGGTACTTTTTAAATCGGGCAACATTAGAAAAAGAGCAGCGAATGAAAGAGACAAATTTGCAAGCATTGGAAAAAGAAATACTCGATCGAAAAATATTGACGATTCGATTGTTTGGACTGCACCAGGTTCCTCTCCTCCCCTCTCAAGGAAAGAAAACAAGCGTTTTGCGTATTGAAAGGTTTCTTTACATATAATATTTATTATTTTTATTAGAAAAAAAAGAGAAGTAAAAATGTATTACATAAGTTTGTTATTATTTATGAAATAAGTAAATAATATTTTATTTATAGTCATTGTCAATTATTTTATATTTAGAATTTTTTTAAGCGGCAACGGAGATTTTATATTTTTTATATCAATAAAAACACTATATTATTATATTATATTTTAAAAAAAAAATTTACTTGGGGCTCTCCAAGTAGACAAAGCGTTATAGATTTTCAATTTTTGAAAAAAAGTGCAGATTATTTTTTGAAATTATTTAGTGATTCTTGATTCAGTTTTAACCAGCAGCAAAAGTTCAAGTATCGCTTAATTATAACTTATTTTTTTTGAAATTGCGTTTTGCCATATTATTAAAGTTAAAAAAATCTTAACGTGTTCATTATATATGCATTATTTTATAGTTAATTTTTTTTTGAAACTTTCTTTCTTAATTTAAGTCGATCGTTGAGTACAGCGACTGAAACGCCTTTTATAAAAGTGAAACCTTCTGAGGTTCAACGTAATTATATAAACTTTTATAACTTTTTTACTTTATAATAATGGTACATTTTTTTTTAAGCAGCTTTGTTGTTTCCTGAATTAAAAAAAATCCAAGAAAATATGCTTAAAAAAATAAATAAATCCCTTCTTACTACTTCTCAAATGCGAAAAATGAAGGATCTTTATAGCAAAGTTTTTTTTTTACTGTAATTTGAAGTAAATTATAGAACAGTGAAAAAGGAAGAACTCTTTTTTTTTAATGTTAAAATAATGATAATAAATAAAAACTACAATTATTAATAGATAATAAAAATAATAATAAATGGAAAATATAATAAATAATAATAATTAAATTAAGAAATATAAAATAATATCAATATTTTTATTAAAAATATTTAAATTACTTATTTATATTATAATTTTATCAATTTATTGAAGGATCCAATAAATTTCAGCGTACCAAAATTATCACGACTTTTTTCAGTAGATGGCCGCACCGTTCGAAGGGTAATTCAGTCACATTTTGAACGGGATCCACAGCAAAGCGCTAATTATGATTCAAAAATACTGGAGATGGTTCTTTTTGAAGTTTTCGTTTTGAATTATTTGACCCGCGTGGTTTTTTTATAGCGGAAACAACGGATGCAGGAAAAAAAACGAAGTCGGGAAGTTCTTTTTAAGGGGAAAATTATTCTTAAGCAACCAATATTACAACGCAACTTGCCTACAGTCATCTTGGATTTTTAAATTGGATTAACTTTGAAAAACATAAAAGAAAAATTAATTATAAATAAAAAAAAATTACTTTTTTTTTAACTGCTAGTTTAATTGTCATTTTTTTATTAACGAGAGCAGTGCGGATTTTATAAGCACAATAATAAATTTTATATTATTAAAAAGAGAAAATTAAAGTTTTTTTTTAAAAAAATCGTAAAACAAAAACAATAATCAAGTTTAGTAGAACCTTCAGTTTATTAAAAACTTTACTTTCCTTTATTTTTTTGTAAAGGTAATATATACTTAAATTCATGCTCTATCACACCCCTCTTCTTTTTAGGAAATAACATTATGTCGGTCATGAGATGTTGGAGGGCTCTTCCAGCCTTTTCATTACAAAATTTATGTTTAAATAATTATTTTAAACTTTTTTGCAAAAATTTCAAATTTGAGACTAAAAGTTTCTCAGACGCCTGCCTGATAATCTTTTGAAATCTTAAAAAAATTTCTACTGCCTAAGTAAAAAATTTGAGTTTTAATAAAAATAATTTATTATCTAAAGTTGTTGACATGTAAATAAAAATCTTTAATAATAAAACGAATAAAACAAAAATCAAAAGCAACCTTTATAAAGCTAAAAATTAAAAATGATTAACATTTTATCCACTTAAAAAAAAAAATTTTAAATTAATTTTTTTAACTTATATAGTTTTTCAAAATATTTAATTTCTACTTATAACCTACTGACGCTTCGGAACCGAGTAGAAAAATCTGTAAAGCTGTGGAAAACGCTATACCAATCTTAAGTTACCCTAATAAATAAAGCTTTGTAATAAGTTTTGTAAAACTAGGGAAAATATTTACTATTTTAATTATAAACGAACTTACTGATGAAAATTTTAAATAACAAAAAATATAGATAAGCCAAGCTTTTGTTTTAAAACTTTTAATTGGTTCCAATTTTAAATAAAATCAAGAGCCAGATAAAGCTTATAAATATTGCTAAAGTCTAAATCTTAAAACAAAAGTGGTTAACGTGCAAGAAAATAAAGGCTCTTCCCAATAAAATGAAGGAGAGCTATAGCTAAAGCAAACCACTTTATAACCCGTAATAAAGTTTGTAAATAGCTACTATTTATTAGAATTTTTATTTTAATTCTTTTTTTTTAAATCTGAACTAGCAAGCCATGCTAAACGTTTCGATCATTTGTTTATTGTATAATTATTATTAAATACGCGCTTTATTACCCTTAATAAAAAGTTTATAAACAAACGCCAAGTTTTTAAAATATTTATTATTAGTACTTTTTGGTAGACGGCTTATAAAAAGATTTTTAAAAAAAAATTAATGAAGTGCTTAATTATTCCTAATTAAGTCTTTAAAAACCAAAATTTGTTTTAGGTTTCACTCTTTTATAACATGAACTAGCATGCCCTGAGGAACTACTTGACTTGAGTAAAGAAGAACAATCAATAAGGCGCTTCATTATTCATAACGGAGTTTATAAATAGGCAGCAAAGTGTTTTATAACCTACTGATGGACGGCTCACCCATGTAACTTATAAAGAACTATATATGTAAGGAAACAACAGTTTCCGGCAAGTTCATACTAGCCCGCAGAGTGTACGATACCTAGCGAAGGATCAAAAGGTACGATCCAACATTCAACGATCCCACTAAGATCGTCGACCTATGCAGTTGCCAAAGAGCCGAACTATCGACAACAAAGGACTTACCTGCTGCAGTCGCAGCTAAGTAAAGGTTGCTTCAACCCGTACTCTATACGAAGTTTTGAGCACCTTTAGGAAGTCAAAAATGACCTAAAAAAAACGTCTATTATTTTTAATTTAGTGTTTCTACCTATGATAAAGATAATATTATAAAATCAAGTCTAATTATAAAGTAGATAAAATTACATAAGGAATACCATTTAAAAATAAACCATACCTAGTTTACCCTAGTCCCTTTTAAACAATAATTCTACAATATAAATTTAGCGCTCTACCATCCGTATTAAAGTTAAAAATAGTTATAGATTTAATTTTAATTTTAATTAATTTTTTATAATGTGAACTAGGGAGCCTTGAAGAACGCTCAACTGGAATAAAGATGAACTATAAATGAAGCGCTTTACTTTCCGTAATAAAGTTTGTTAGGAGCCATTAAATGTTTTTAAATTTTATTTTTATTCTTTTATAAAGTGAACTAGCAGGCCTAGGAGAACGGATCATAATAAAAAACGATCGATTAAACACTTTAAATATCTGTAAAATAGTTTACAAATAAGGTTATAACATTTTTTAATTTTAATTTTATTCTTCTGTAACGTGAACTAGCAAGCCTTGATGAATCAACGGCTCCACGTCAGATCTCCGAACAAAGTACTGATGATTTTTTATTAAAGTGATTGGTCCGTGTTCTACAATAAATAAAGTAATAATAAAAATGAAACCCAAGTTTCGAAGAATTTCATAATTAAAATTAGGACCAGTTTGAATTTCGCCGTGGCTTACGAGAGCTCTTACGTGGATATAGAGATCAGTGGGTGGCTGTAGATCCTTCATAAGAAAAACTTAATAATAAGGTAGAAAGTTAGAATTTAAATGCAACGTACCACTGTTAAGTCGAAATCTATGTCAGCCATATAGGCATTTAAAGTTTGGTTATATTGTGAAAAGTAGTATTGCTCGCTACTGCTAAGATTATCCTAATTTTTATTAAAATTTTTAATAAGTATATATATATAAAGATTATAAATGACTTTAATCTTTTTTGCAAGAATGCTGCCATGTTCAAACCTTAGAGATTGTATCCTTCTTATTCTTTCCATGCTATAGACAATACAATAGTAAATCAAAATAGTTATATAAAAGTTTTCATTACAGATAGGCTAATACGCAGCGTTTGCTTCTCTGGATAGTAGCAAAGTGCATGACAATAGCCACACCAATACTTTGTTCAGAGCCCTACAAGATAGAATCAAATTATAAGGTAAGAAGATGAAATTAATTAAACATCTGGGTCCTCTTGTCTTAATTTTCTTGTTTCTTCTACAAGGCTATTAATTTCTTCAATAGTTTTCCGAATGTTATCTTCCTAGCGAGACAATATAAGAGCTAAACCCAATTCGTAATAAAATTAGGCAAATTTAAAGTAGCATACGTCATACGGAGGTAGCCCCGGAGTTCGCTTAAGCTCCTTTACCAGTTCAAAAGCTGAACTGGAAAGCATTTATAAAAGTGTTGAGATTCTTAAAGTAGTTTAAAAAGTTTACAAAACGGTATACGAAATTATATCTATTTCATAAGCAAACGCCCTTGCAGGAGGGGGGTATATTAACTTTAACAAAAAAGAGGTTATGTATGTGTATACCGTAGGTGGGGAATCGATTAGCAATAAACTTACTTAAAATTTATTGCTTTATTTTTTTTTTACAAGATCTCTAAGCTACTCACCTAAATGATTTTCTGTTTTATGATTTCAAAATAAAGTTAATGATTACGAGTCATCCCAATTTTTTTTTATAGTGGGCCATAAAATTTGTTTTTTTTTTTGATCGCAAAATTGATTTACTCTTTTACAAATTCTTATAGAGTTCTTGTTTGAATAAAATTTGCTTATGTTCATAAAGTTCCCCACAAGCTTGTATACGCCAAATTAAAATGCGTAAAACTTATATTAAATGACTTTAAAATAAGGAGAGTACTTTCATTTCTTGGAAGCTTAAGGTCTACTACATCGTTCAATTTTATTATCACCCATCAATATGAAGATCTTAATAAAGTAAGAAGAAAAGAAAAAGGTGACTTAGTGATCTCTATAAGTAAAATTTTTATTTGACTAAATAGTTAGATAAGAGGGAGCGGGAGTAGAACAAATACTGTATTGACAATCATAAAATTTTTTAACTTTTACTGTTAAAAAACTTTTATCCTCTCTACTTTATTAATTACTAAAATTGTTACAAGTGGTAAAAAAAATTATGTAGCTATCCTTAAATTTTACTGTTTCTAGAACGTAATAATACAGTTTTGCTTGCTATAGTAAAACTTCTACAAGAAATTTTCTTTGTGAGTCTACACGGATACACCGGAGAAAGTGAGAATTTATATAATTCCAGCTTATATTATTCTTAAGATACAATTAGTAAGGAATGTGTAGCGTTATCTCTAAACTGCAAAATTTAGTATAAACAAATACCTAAAGTTATAAGCATGAAGCCCAATAATAAGAGGCTATAACTTCTAATACAGCGTTCCCTTAGCGGGTTTTAGTAGAACTTTTTTTCCATAAAAAAACGCTTAATAAAAGTTACGATAAAGCATTTTAATGAAAACTATTGTTACTATATCAATAAAAATAACTAATTATTAATAATCAGGTTTATTACTAATATGATTTTAAAAAATGTTATTTATTTTATTTTATTTTATTTATATAGTAACAAGTACTATTCGATAAGTCACCAACCACTGCTCGCGCGAGATTAGTAACCTAAAGTATAAATCCTACGTAGAATTATGAGCTTACATAATTTTATTTCTTTGATTTGTTAATTGATTTTAGTTAGTGATTTTATTTTTGTCAAGAATTTATAAATTGATTTTATTAATTTATATTTCATTTTATTAATTATATATCATTTTATGAATTTATATTTAATTAAACTCTAAGTTAACGAGGGTTAATGTTTATTGTCACTATGGTTAATTATTCTATTTTTTTTATTAATCGTAAAAAGTTAATGCTTTATTGATTATAGCATAATCCTGCGGGACATAAGCTACCGCACGAGTTAACAAATGTTAGAATGTTTGGATAATTCTATAAGTATTTTTTGTGCTAATTGTGAACATTGTCCTACAGAATTAGATTTCACAGTGACATTGTAGTTGGCCATTTAATTTAATCTTTTGAAAGAAAACTGATTTGCAAGGCTTTTAGGTAGTTTAAATATCTAATCTAATAGTCATTGAACAGGAAATAGAAGTCTAGATTACTATTAATCTTTAGTTGGTTCTAAATTGTTATTCGAATTAAGTAATAGTGTACTTTTTCCTCAAATATTAGGGTAAAACGCTCCTCTGACGGCATAACTTTTTCAGAAGTCTAACTGAAGTTGGCCTTTAACTTAAATTTAAAGTCTATCATAGAAGGCGCACTTTAAAAAATGTTTTTTTCTATCCTGCAGTTCGGGAGAATCTGAACAGTATGAAGTTGAAATTCCTAAGATTATTTAATAAATTATTAAAGGTTTTAATTGTTTCATTTTTAGTTTATATATTTCGTTAAAAGGAATATTTAGCCTGAATATTTTCCTTATTAAACTTATATTTTGTTTCTAAATACAGGGAATCAGCTGTTTCAAATAAAAATTTTTTCGCAGTTTATAATAAATTATATTTTTATATAACTCAGTGATGAATATATTTGCCAAAGGTTATTGGAGACAGTTAGTATGATTAAGTGATGGCTCTTTTAATTGAAGGCTTGTCTTTTTTAAATTCTTAAGTAGTTTTTATGGGCCAAAAGTGTAGTTAAAATTTGTTGGGAGGATTTATATTGAATAATTTTTAAAAGTGAAGTGAGTCATTTTCGTTTAATTCTGCTGAAATAAGTTTTTCATGAATTTTTTTTTTGTATATATATAATTGCGATGTTTAGGATTATGGTGATACTAAACTAACAATAGTGCTAAGTGTTATTATAAGCGCTAGCACAACTCATGTACTCCCATTTTCCCATGGCTTAATGAACTCGCTGGTTCTGTGAGAAACTACAGTACTAAATAGTCAATATTTAGAATAATCTCGAATGTGGGTGCTTTTGTGTCACGAAAGAGTATGTCAATCCATCACAAATAATTATTTAATTAGAACTTTATAGGCCGAAGTAACGTTACTCATGCGAATATTATACTTAAAAAAATTTACACCACTACTGCTCAAAATTAGTATAATAGAATATTAATATAAGTATTTAGTATTAACACTAGGTCATCCTACTTTATTCGAGTGGTTTGGTAGTTTAAAATCTACCTAAAGAATTTCTATTTTTAGGCGCCTGCTGCCCATCTTACAAGAGAATATATATCGTATTAACAAGAATTCGCATGAAAACTAAATAAATAACATAAGCATGCTTATAAAGACAGAATCCTATAAGTTTCTAAGAATCTTCTTTGAATTATCTTTAAATGAAATCATTACTCATGTGGTCATCACTTATGAGCTTGTCCATATTTATTAGTTTCTTTCACTAATCAAAAAATGGATAGAAAAATAAATTTTAATTGACAAAGAAAAAAGGATAATAGCAAAAATTACTTAGTGAAAAATGCACTGCTTATAAAAATAAACCGAAAAAGTTTAGAGAAATTATTGAGTTTGAAAAACAAAATAAAGTTCCAAATATATTGTTATACTCTCACTCCTATCTGGAATATGAACGGTAAAAAATGGCAGGTATCAATTAGAAATTTTTTTTTTTTTCTAAGTTATGTGTACAAAAGCCGAAAACTGTTTAGAAAAAATATAGTGACACGACTTTAGTTAAACTTTTATTATAGTTGATAACTAAATAATACAGGTTTTGTATATCGCTAATGAATGTATACATTATTTGTAACCACGGCTCCTTGCATGGAAGCCTAAAGCTTATAAAAGGCTAAAGTTTGGTTAAAATAGGGTATATTACGAATTGCTCAGGAGGGCGTAGTTAAAAAATCTTTATATTGAACTCCACTTCTAGCTGTAGTTAAATAAACAAGTAATTTCTAAAGTTTTTAGTTATTATAAACTTAAACAAGTTAATATAGTTTATATTGAGTTTAGTTTATGAAAAACGAAAGTCCTAATACACTAACACTCCCACATATATTATCTGGAGCTGGCGCTGGCTTAGTTGCTGCTTTAGTAACGTCGCCTTTAGATGTTGTTAAAATAAGAATGCAGGTTTAAAAAATTATTAATTTATAATCTGCTTTTGCAAATAATTACAAAGGTTGTTATATAGTAGAAACATAAGTATAACGTGAATATTAAGTTATAGCTTTTGTATCTTAATTTTTATACTTCATAAAGATATTTGTTAATTTTTAGTATAAAGTAACGGTCTCTCTTTTTCATTTTTTCTATTTATTATTGTCATTTAATATTTATTTAGCTTATTTCTAATTTTTTTGGAATTGGATAGGCGCAAAGTTCTAAAAGCGCCTACTTTTATTTCGGGTTAAGAGGTGCTTGTTCTTATTATTTATTAACTTTATAAATCTTGTATGATGAATTAATAAAGCACAGATGCAGTTTCTCAAATTTATAAGTCTGAAGGCTTTCGTGGTTATTTTGTGGGACTCCCACCTAATCTTGTAGCGCTTCTGCCCAACTGGGCGACTTATTTTACCGTTTATGAGCAATTAAAATTTCATTTAGATCTTAATTTTGGTAAAAAAAAAAAAATAAATATTTTTCTATTGTTAACTTTACAACGTTTTTAATTAATTAAGCCGAATTTTCGTCAAGAGACTCAACTATTCATTTACTTTCTGCTCTTGGAGGAGGTGTTCTATTTTACATAATATATACATTTATATTATATAAAATATTTTTTTTAGTTATTTATCTATAGCTATTCAGCATTGTTACAAGTTATTAATTTTTAAATGATTACAGGAACAGCTAGTTGTTTGGTCACTGCTCCCTTTTGGATTATCAGAACTCGCTTAATAACACAATTAAAAGGTTTTAGAGTAAATTATTTTTTCTGAAATTTTTAATTTTTTTTTTTTGTCTTGGAAAAAAATTTGGAATTTTTAGTTGTTGAGATTTTTTTATTTATAAAATATTTTATTTAAAAATTCAAGATTAAATTTTTATCTTTAAATTTTCATTAAAATATATGCTTAATTGCTGTAATTATATTTCCAATTTTTTATTAAAAAAAATTTCTGTTTAATATTTTCTATTATAAAGTATTTTTTTCTTATAAGAATATTTAAAGTCACCACTACTTTTTATCAAGGAAATATTCATTTAATTATTATAGTTTATATAATTTTTTAAATATTTTGAAGCGATTTTATATATTTCTTTATGCAAAAGTATTTTTCAATTTTTTTTGAAATTTTACTATCTAACTTTGCGCGAATCTTTTTATTAATATTATGCATAATGGAAGTTACTTCTTTTTATGAGTTTTCTTTTTATTTGAGTCTACGCATATTTATTGTTAATATTTTTATAATATTAAGAAATT